CTACCAAGCTTCGCCTGTACTTTGTGCTCATGTACGCTCACTTTCTAGCACGTTTTTCATAACACTACAAATTAGTACCTTTATAAAAGTATCCAAAAAATTGTATCAATAGAAATTCTCGAATTTGTGGTGATTGGAACTCGAGAATTTCGGGTGGGAAAGAAAAAAAGGAGAAAGGTTTCGGGAAAAATGTCTGCCATCTCTCGGAAAAGTGCCCTCTTTTCACCAAACAGCACACATACAGCTTGCCAGGGTGGCACCCTCAATATAGAGAAAGAGAAATCGAGAGGGAAAGATTAGAGTTCAGGAATTCGTGGAGAGTGAGGAGAGACAGTCTCCCCTCTCCACCCAGATCCATGCCCACCCCTCCCCCCTTTTCTCTCTCTCTCCACCCCATGTGCTCTGTCCTTTGCTCAGCTTTCCCGCACTACGTTCTCCCTTTCTTTCTCTTCTTCTTTTTTCGAGGTGCCACCCCAGTTCTTCTATTCACTTTTCCCCTTTTTTTTTCCTATTTCCAGCCGTCTTTTCTCTTTCCTCTTTTCCTTGCCTCAACATTGAAACCTTATACTATTACTTGTCGAAAACATCGCCATTTCTGCCTTTTTTCATCTACCAATACCCATTTTTTAGCTTTAGAAATGATTCGCTGAAAGAGGAATGATTGAGTCTAAGTTTTTCTGGCCTTCAGCTCCTCTATTTTATTTTACTTAAGATTTTCTAGTGCCAAGCCAGGTTCTGAACAAGTATAGATGTTTTCTCAAAGCCATTCCTCTATTCATTTAAAAAAAGCTACCCTGTGTCCAGGCCTGGGACCCCAGTGCCCGAGACTTTGACTGGGGCTGGGTTGGACGAGACGGGCCAACCAAACAGCCCCACACTCTGTCACACGGGCACACTCTCCTCCAACAGATAAAAGGCACGGCACCCTATAGACCCGTCTCCTCTATTTTCCAAAAAATCCTCTCTTCTCCCTTCCCACCCCATTCCACTCACCCCTTTTCTGAGGCTCTCCCCATGATCGCCCCGATTTTCAAACTTTTTGTTTTTTCCTCTTTCTGACAACCATTTTGTTTAAAATCGATTTTGGTAGATCAGACTAGATTTGCTTAGGCTAGATCTACTTCCTGCTGCTTCCTGCCAAGCTAATGAGACTTTTTGTCTTGCATTACAGCAATACAGAGTCAGACTTGCAACACAGCAAGCAAGGCTGGTCCTGGCAAAGCTGTGAGCCGTATAAACTGGTCAGAAGCTGGCTCTAGGCCTTCTGGTGAGCCCAATCATTAATCGTAAGTATAGATGTTCTTACCATTTACCATTTCCCGTAACCTATCGGAGAGTAGAGTCGATTGTATGAGGTCTCCCCATTGCTCTTTCTTTTCTCCCGATCCCTTCACCAATATTGGTTTTGTGTGATCGGCACACATCCCTTTCCCCCTCTTTCCCTCCTGAATTTTGTCTCCTTTTTTCCATTTTCTTTTTCCAAAATCATTCATTTTTGTCAAAAGCGATTGATTCAATTTTGTGGCACTCATCTATTCCAAGCCGACCATCAACTAGCTCAATGGTTAGTGGAGCTGACAAAAGTTGCGAATGGAGCTGACTATTTTCAATTCAATGACTAGCTGACTACGAATCGGCACAGTACTTTGTGCTCGTAAACGCACACTTTTTCGCATAGATATGATGGATAGATAGCCAGAGACTGGGTCTCAAAGTATGAGTCCAGTTTTGTATGAAAGTTTTGATCATCTTTTGTTTCTCTTGATCTTCTACTGATTTGAATTTTGATCTTCTACTTCTACGATAACCTTTTTCTACAAGTATCGGTGTTCAATCAAAGATTTCTATCAAGCATTTAAAATAACAAGAAGAAAAAAGGTCGATGACAATACGGAGTTGTCAAGAAGGCCATTTCTTGTTCTCTCTCTGATTCACAGCCCTTTCTCTTATTTTCCTTTCTCCTCACCATATAGAAATCTTGATATAGAAAATCGTAATTCCTTTGATTCGAAAGTAATTTTTTGTTCAAGAATTCGAACTAGGTCAGATCAAAAGCTTCTGCGCCGCCGAGACTGGAACCGGGCACCTTTCGCTTACGCTTACCAACTGTGCTAACCATTACACCAAAACAGACTTGATTTCCCTATTCCAGAGGGGATTAACTCAAGACGTGAGGCTTCTCTAGTACTTTTTCTTTCAATTCTTTCAATTTTTTTGCTTATCCTTTATCCAGTGCCCGTACCAACTTCAGTATTTCTTTGGCTGTTGAAATGCTCGATATTTTTGGTACAGCTTTGTATAGGTTTCTAAAAAACCCTCAGTAAAATAGATTTTCTAGCTTTTCCAGGAAAAGAAAAGATTCTCGATCAATTTTTGTATAGTTTTTTTGAATTGTATGTGGTGCGTCAGAGAAAAACGCTTCGAGAAACCTTCTCTGTTTCCAATTTTCCAAAAAACTTCTCTCTTGACCAAGCTACCAAGCAGTAAATCAAAAACAATATATTTTAAATAGATTTAAATGAAAACTGATATGTTTGAAAAGCTATTTTTCCAGTTCTTCTCACCGATTTCACCAAAAAACATCAAAAAAATCTAACAAAGTTCAATTTTTAACTTTTTTTGGCTGTAACTACGCACCACTTTTGTTAGAAGCTTTGTTAGAGCTTTTCTGAGTATTCTGAACTCTTGAAAACTCGAAATTCTATACATGTTTCCCATTCTTGGTGCTAGAAGTGTACCCTGCACTCTTCAGGGTCACACCAAACAAAAAACTTCTTCAGGACACCAAATCTTTGTCTTTTCCTCGCCCACCGATTGCCCTTTTTCTTCCCACCAAAGATTCATTTCTTTGAATTGAATGACAAAGAAATACAAAAAGAAAAGATTGAAAAGCTTTATGCTTTGATTTCTTTTATTTCATGGCTTTGAGGGGGTTCCGGGAGGAGAAAAGGGAAAAAGGGGTACCCGTCAAAACATTATTTCTCACTCACACCATCACCTCTCACATTTTTTTTGTTTTCTTGCCTTTCAATCTATAGATATATTGTATTTATTGATATCTTGGTGCCAAATAGTGCATCGAATTTGTCATTGTCAAGTTTTTCACTCATTCAAAGTCTTCTTCGCAAGGCTTTCTTACGAAAACGTTTAGATCTTGTATTATATCTAAATATCAGTTAACGAATAGCTTTGACTCTGCAGAAAGTCTTTTTGCTGCACTCAACTGAACTTTTGTATGGTTAAAAGTAAAGATCAATGCCTTTTTAATAGTCTTAATATCTTAATAATGGCAAGAATTTTTATTTTAGCAAGTTTTGATGGAAGAAATGATTGAGCTTTAGTACCGAGTCAAATTTTATATTTTTCGAGTTCTTTTGACTCGAAATTTATCAAAACATCATCTATTTCTTCAAAATTTACTGTATTTTGCAGCCAATCAATTCAAAAAGCCTTTTATTTCTTTTGGAATCAGTTTTTGATTGAAAATACTCACAAAAATGACTTTTCTTGAAATAAAGTTTTTCAAAACGGATTATTATATAACTTTTTATTCGAAAAAAAAGTTATAAAAGAGCTTTTTGATATCTGATGATCGATTCTGAAAAATCTGAACTTTTTTCTAAAGTTTTCTGATCTGATCTGATCGGCAAACGACTTTCTGGCTAGCCTTCTCTTGATAAGATCGAGAGATGATCATTGATTCAATGACTAGCTGGCTACGAATCGGCACAGTACTTTGTGCTCGTAAACGCACACTTTTGAAAGTTCATCTTTTGTTTCTCTTGATCTTCTACTGATTTGAATCGATAACCTTGTTCTACAAGTATCGGTATTCAATCAAACATTTCTATCAAGCATTTAAAATAACAAGAAGAAAAAAGGTCGATGACAATACGGAGTTGTCAAGAAGGCCATTTCTTGTTCTCTCTCTGATTCACAGCCCTTTCTCTTATTTTGTATGAAAGCTTTGATCATCTTTTGTTTCTCTTAATCTTCTACTGATTTGAATAATCTTGTTCTACAAGTATCGGTATTCAATCAAACATTTCTATCAAGAATTTAAAATAACAAAAAGAAAAACTCTTTTCCCTATTCATTCACGGAAATAATATATATTTATCGTTTTCATAGAGCTCTACACTTTAAATATTCTAAAAAGCGCACCGTGGTGGGAGACAGAATTTCAATAGTTTCTTTGGGTTTCTCGAAATAAATACGAAATGATTGCTTGATGTTGAAAACTTGACTAATTCTGATCAAGGAAATCTGTCGACAGTCGACAGTCGACAATGTTCCCCAGAAATCCACCCACACCAAGCATTTTTCCGCAAATATTCCCTTTTAATGAAGCTTTTGTGAATATTTTGATGAATGGGATGATGAATTGGGTAAGTAAAAGAAAAAATTGAATTAAAAGAAAAAAATTGGATCTTAACTATCATTTTATCACTTTAAAACCTCATTCAATTGGTCGAGATTCACTTCACTGAGGTTTTGAAGCTTTAAAGCTCAGTGAAGCTCAGCCAATTTCACCCTTAGCCACTTTTAAAAGCTAAAAATAATTTATTTCACCCCCCCCCCCCCCCCAAGGGGGGGGGGGGGGGGGGGGGTTTTTTTTTTTTTGTTCTTTTTTTCTCTCATTTTTTTTTTGGGGTATTTTGGGTTTTAAAAAAAAAAAAAAATTAAAGGAATGCTTTTTTTAACAAAAAAACCCCCTTTTTTAAAAACGGGCGCTTTGAAAAAATAAAAAAAAAAAAAACTTTTGCGCCCCCCCGACTGAACGGGGGGGGGTACTATTACAGTATTTACGGTGTTTTCTTTATAAACTTTGAAGTGACACTTGTTCAATGCGTTGATTGCTAGTTCATTTTCCAGATTTACTGTATTTCAATCCCAACATTTCATACTGATTGCTGTAATTTCAGTGCACGATAGGTCGTCGTCGGTCTCCCTCGGGGACTCACTCGGCGGGGTCGGCCACTACGGCTGGTCAATCGACGATGGGATCAAGGGGACGGCCACAATATGCAATCGTTCGCCTACCACCCAATGCCGACCTCGGAGCTCTCTTCATACTCCTTGTGAGTTTTTTTTGTTTAAAAAATTAGAATCTCTTTTCTACATTTTCTAAAGCGTGTTCCTTGTCGCTAACAACCATTCTTTTATCTAATCTATCGGTATATTTCGGTGTTCTTTGTGAGCTTTCACAGAATTTGATTGTAAAAGCCTTACTAGAAAAGATCGCCAAAGATCGAGTAGAATTTGAAAACGAAATCCAAATTTTCTATCTTATTCAGTTTTTCACGGGCTTTCCGAATCCGCTTTTAAGTTTTTCTTAAATTGCTTGCAAACACAAGGAATTTCCCTTTAAAGTTTTAGTTTTAAAAACGCAATCAAGTTTTAAATATCCCTTTGTAATACTTCTTCGCTTGCCTTTCGGCCGTGTCTTTTTAGCCGAGAGGTAGAGCTCTCACTTTGAAATCCTTTGGTCCGAGTTCAATTCCCTCGTCGACCACATTTTAAACTTTATCAACATCTGTTTTTATATGCAATTTCTTATCAACCTATCGACTTTCTCTAGCTAGAGATAAGATTACGATAGCTTTTCAGCCAACTCTTTCCACCATTGTCAAGCTCTCTGGGGTAGGAAGAAAGAAAGTCTACTGTACTCTTTGCATCCGCTTAGCTACTTTATCTAATAAACCACCGTAGCCCCTTGCCTTGGATATCTTTTTCCAAAAGTTGTATCATTATCCAAAATTGTTAAACGATCTCTTTTGGTTTAAGAAACATTTTCAATGTAGCGAATTTCAATGAATCGAGGGAGAATCGATGGGAAGGGGAAGAAGGGAAGGGGAAGGGAAGAGAAGGGAAGGGGAAGGAAGGGAAGGGAAGGGGAAGAGAAGGGAAGGGGAAGGGAGAAGGGAGGGGAGAAGGGAAGGGGAAGAGAGAAGGGAGGGGAGAAGGGAAGGGGGGAAGGGGAAGGGAAGGGGGAAGGCGAAGGAAAAGACCATCGTTTTATACAAAAATATGTATTGGTTCCCATCGCTTTTCTGTTTTTGAAAAAGAAAGGGTGAAAAGAGAAGGGAAAGAGCTCTTTTGTGTAAACCGTTTCCCTCCTTTCCTCCTCTTTTCTCATCTCGCCCATGCCTATGTGTATATGAAATTTTAGTGGGCTTTTTCTTCCTTTTCCCTTTAGTCGATAAGCGACAGAATTGTCGGAATCATGATCAGTACGAACGAGAAAACTTGAAAGATTTTAGTAGAAGGAGATTCAAACTTTCAATTAGCATATACAGAAATTAAACCTAAAATATTCAAAAATAGAGTAGATTTCTTTAAAAACCAAGCACGGATTCGAATTCCTTGACCCCGAAAATCCCCTGGTACAAATTTTTAGCACAATTTGCCTCAAAAAGTGCTACGTACGGCTCACTGGTGAGCTGTATATTATACCTCCCCACCCTGGCGGTTCCCTTTCTCCCCCCCCCAGCCGCCCATAGTGGCCCTTTCCTGCCCCTTTTTGTTGTTGTTGTTGTTGTATAATAAGCTGTATAATAAGCTGTATAATAAGTTTTTAGCAGCAATAACTTATAGTTTCCCTAACTGTAACTTTCTTAGCTTCAACTTACATTTTTGACCCTACAAATCAATGAACCGTGCTCAAAAATCCCCAAGTAACCCGAAAGTCTTCACCCTGAACTTGCCGAGGATTTGTCGGCGATCGTCTTTTTTTTTTCGAAAGAAATTCCACCAAATTTAGCAATTCGTTGTCCCTATTTAGCAGTGTTTTCTCTTACTCGCTTGTCTCAACCAAAGATTGACCTTGACGTCGTTGCGATTTCCATTTCATGAAAGGTTTTTTCTTTTTAAGAAATGGCTAGGGTTTTGCGGTTTTTTTTCGATCTTCCATCATGGGTAAACATTTGACCATTTGACTCGATCTCCGATAGACTTTAGCATTGATTTGGTGGACGAGATAAAGGGGACAAAAAAGGAAAACTGGGCAATAGGAAACTGGGCAAAGGAAAGCTGAGGAGCGGAAAGCTGGGGTTTTGGTAGAGTCACTAAAAGGTCATATAGGTAATAATATTTAACTAAAATCCAATCCAAAGCCGGATCCAAAGCTGTTTTTCAGCTCCAGCCTGATTTAGCCTGTCTAGGTTAGAGTTCTAGTCTAGACAGGCTAAATCTAGTGTCTAGATCATTGTAGTTGTGAACAGACTTTATAATTTGCATAGAATGATTCAAAGATTCAAAGAAGTTAACACTAAGATGAGAAATGACTGACTGACTATCGAGCTATCGACTGACTACAGTATTCTAAGAATAACGAAGATACCGTATGACCTTGGGGAAACAAGATACAGTAACGCATGATATTCAGTCAAATGTCCAGCTTTTAAACCAGCTTTTAAACCAGCTTTTTGGGTCTTATCCGTCACAACAGTTTGTCTTCAAATCTTTTCCAAAATCCGCTCATCCGCCCACCATTTCCTTTCGCTTTCCTCTCATTTTGCTCGAAACGACAAGCGATGCGATTTCTTTACCCCCCAAAAAAAGTGATCTGAAACAAAAGAAGGGAAATGACCCAATTCGTTTTTGTAAAAAGCCTTTTCTTGACCATTTTGTGTGACCTTGCCTTCACCCGATCCCTTTACCCTCTCGACCCCTTTAGGGTGCTTTATTTTTTCGAAAAAAGGGGTAAAAGTGGTGGAAATCAGTTGAAATCATTTGAAATTAGTTGAAATTAATTGAAATCAATCAAAATCAATCAAAATCCAGTTCCAAAACAACTACTCGGAGTTTAAACTGGTCAATGACATCTCGGAGGCGTGTGGCTGCACGGTGCCCGGCAGTTCCAGCTCTGCTCAGGTATATTTCACTTTAACTTATCGTTTTTGTCTTATTTTTAGTTGAGAAAATGATAGATTCTTTATATTTATAATCTATTCAATGTATATTCTTGCAATGAATACTTCAGGGTGCTGAGATTGAAGGCGGTGACACTGACTCGGAGCCTCGACCATCCCCGAGTTCTTTGCCCACATCAATGTTTCCGAATCCATCCGCTTTAGAAAGATTACATCAAGTAAGCAGATTCAAGTTCAGATGGAAATCTAGCTTTAAAAAGAGCTCTTTTATTGGAAGATTTCCAATCTTTTTTGGTAATGCTATGCATTACCAATCCTTTCCTTTTAGCCATGTACATCGACGGCTACTCCAATGCATGTGCAAACGATGATCCTCCCAAAAAACAATATGTTAAATGATCTTGTCGTGAAACAAGAAATGGCTGATGTCTCCGATGTGTGCACATCACTTCAAAATCTGCCCACTCTTATTCAACAATTGCAAAGGCCAGGTTTGAAAAGAAGCAGCTAGTTCAAAGCAGCTAGTTCTTTGATTCTAGCTCCAACAATGCCTCAATCGATAGCATCAACTTCTTCTGGCAGTCCATCTCCTCAACAAGAGTTTGATTTAAAGACATCAGCTCTTCATATAAATCTGGATCAAAGTGGGATCTCGGCACATGATGAGAGTGATGTGAGTTGGAAAATGAATCTAAATCACTAGAATAGTTTTCTCTGGGATAACCTTGAACACGTTTATGGAAGATTTTACAGCCAGCCCTCAACGCGTCAGCCGGATCGAATCCCAGTGTTGAATTGAGTGATCACGATCCGACAACGATTCCATCAAATCTCGTCCATCTTGTCTCCTCACTCTTCCCATCGACTTCAATACAAAATGGCGGAGAGATCACTATTGGACAAATGCTTCTTGATAGCAAGGTAAAAAGAAATGAATATAACTATAAAAAGTTTTCAGCTACAACAATCTCGTAAATCGCTGGGCTCAGTGATCGATATGTTGCACTCGAATGGAACTTCTCCAGTGCCTGAAGGAACAACAGGGAAAAGAAAATCCCACTCTGAATGGGGAAACGTTGACGCAAAGGTGATCAGCAATGTGTTTATTAGTTCTAAAACTTGAACTTTCTATGAATCTAGAATCAGTTCTATGATGAACAAATTACGTAATAGGAAATTCGTTTACCCGAGAGAAAACTAATATTTAATATTTCTAGGCTCTTCGACTTGATACTCCGAAAAAAGAAGGCGATTACGATGAGGAGGAGCGTCGAAAAAGGAATGCTGAATGGACGTATAAAGGAGATTGGACATGCAAGGTTCGCATTTTTTTTCATTTTCGAACTTTTCTTAACAATTGTAACATCAATTTTCAGAAATGCGGCAGCCTTGTCAATCCGAAACATCGAACCGCTCAGAAACTCCTTCGACACATGGTTTCCCATGGACCAAGGGCGTGGAGTTGCTCCGGATGCAATAGCAAGTAGGATTTCTGAATTAAAATGAAATGCTTGGATTCTAAAGAATATAAAGAGAAAGTTAAGGTTTTGGCTTTGAACCTATAGCCTACAAGAGCCTATAGCCTATAGCCTACAAGAGCCAGAAACTAGATCTAGACTTGACTTTTGATTGGTAAAATTTAGAGCTCTTTCTGTGATCTCGGCTTGTCACTGGCGTAGCTAAAGCTTGATGGACTATAGCTTTTTCTAGAGCTTTTTCTAGAGCTTGTTAACTATTTTATAGCTGGATAGAGGGCACTTTTAGCTTTCATTTGATACCTAATAAAGTGATTGGGCTAATTAATCTTAAGAAATTGAGAGATAAAACTCTAAAGTCAGATCGCTTATCTAAATCAGATCGCAGATCTAAAGTCAGTACTTTTCCTCCAAATTTTAGATCCTTTTTTTGGTTAGATCAAGCCAAAGTATGGATAAACATTTTGCAAAAACTGGGGAATTCTTTTAAAGCTTCCAAACAATTCAAAAAGCTTCCAGGTTCGGTTTGCACACCTCGTTCGTCTCGCACAACAAATCGGTGCACAACGGTGAGGCGACGCCTGTCAGTTTGAGGTAATCCACATTTACAATTAATTCATTCATTCTATTTAACCCAAATTTTCGATCAAAATTCTGGCAAAACGATTTCATTTCAAATTTTATATAAATTTTATATACCGTATTTTCTATAATAGTAGTGTGCACTACTATTTTTTCAACCCCCCCTCCAGCCTGAAACCTGAAAGGGTCGATTCACTGAAATGGTCTATAACTTAAGATGTAAAAGTTGAATCAACTCAAGGTTACTTTTATTAGAATCTACATTAAATTTGATTAAAGAAATATAGAATCTATTTTGTAGACCTACCGATAAAAACATAGAGAAAAGTAGTGTTAAAGTTTTCAGTTAAAGTTAAAGTTTTCAACCCCCCTCCAGCCTGCACTACTATTGCAGACTGCACTACTATTACAGACTGCACTACCATTACAGACTGCACTACCATTACAGCCTGCACTACCATTACAGCCTGCACTACTATTACAGCCTGCACTACTATTCCAGAAAATACGGTACATTTTTCAGATCCAAAGAGTTGGAGGATATTTGGTTCAAATTGGCGCACGAGTGTTTCCCCGATTTCGTCGAACAAGTCCACTCCTGCATCAAGAAGACGACGCATGTCTAGAGAAATCACCAAAAATTTTCTTTGAAAGCTTTAAACAATCGTTATAGTATGATAGACTATATTATTGTACAAAACAAGATTCCCCTGATAGCTCTTTCATTCTTTCATTTTCATTTTCATTTTCATATTATATCTATCGTTTTCCCCCAGATGAAAGGATTCGTTTTAAAAAAAAAAAATAATTGTGATCAAAATTTTAGCAAAAAGAGAAAGTCGAATTTTTGAAGATATTTATGAAATGATTGTTCGACAATTCCAAATTTCTCTTTTTTTTTCCAAAAAAAAAGCCCGGTTAGATGCTGTTGTTTGTTTTTTTTTGTAAGCCTTGTCACATATTCACAAATCTTTGAATACCTCGGTGAAATATTATAAAAGAAATATATAGTCCTGATTTGTTTCCTTTTTCAGAGTTTTATTTGAAATGTTTTTGATTGATGGACACAAAAGGAAAGCCTTTTGTCTCACTACAGTATGCTAAAGGATACAGACTGAATAGCTTTTGTGGGGTAGGCTAGTTTCCGCAACTTTTTTTGCGCAACAGGGTCGTTTGCGCAACAGGGTCATTTGCGCAACTGGGTCGTTTGCGTAACTCGGCATAACTTTCTTCTAAGTCGGTCAATCTTTATGCTTTTGGTCTTATTTTTGTTGAACTTATTGAGATCTACAAAATGAAACCAAAAGCATAAAGATTAGTCCACTTAGAAGAAAGTTATGCCGAGTTGCGCAAACGACCCAGTTGCGCAAAAAAAAGTTGCGGAAACTAGCCTACCCCGCTTTTGTTTTAAATGAAGAATACTCAGTCTTGTCGGCTGAATATCTTTTACTTTCAATAAAGAATGCTCAGTCTTGGCTGCTGTCTTGTGGACTTCTTTGCGGTTTCCCGTGTATTGTAGTGACTGAGGCTGGCTTCAAAATCGTGCTCGGTAAACGGGCGCTTTCTAGCACACTTCTTGGCCCATTCTAGCATCATATCTGCCAGAAAGCTAGCGTTTAGAAGAACAAAAAGCACGCACTCTCGATTTCCCCGTTTAACCGGTCCCCAATCGTTTCTCGGAATAATTCCTCAGCCCTCCTTTCTCCTCTGCGCAATTCTTGTCACTCATCTCTTTTTAGTCATTTGTTTTGTGAAATTACATTCTTATGGTGATTGTTGCATTTCTTGAATTGACATCAAAAAATTTGTTGTCTGTATTCCCTACAAAACTCGCGTTAAGTGCCTTGTTTTGGAGAATTATAGAATTTTATAAATTTTCTGTTAGACTTTTACAAAAATTTCCCCTCTATCCTCATTTTGCCTGTGATTTTTTCCTTTTTTCTTTTTCCTTTTCCCCAAAAATTTCCTTCAGCACTTTCAATCGGTTCGGTGGCTTTTCTGTTATTTTTCTTTAGTTATTAGTCATTTCTTCTTGAAGCAAAAGGAAAAAAAAACTTATCGACTCTATTCGGAAAAAAATAGCTCCCAAAAAAAACAATGATATCAAGATGAGTCAGAGTTTCTTTTTCCCTCTTTGCCACGCATATTTCTCGTTGAAATTTCTATCTTCTATCGTTTAGTTCCTTTCTTTTTCCCTCTATCAGTCATCACTCGATTTCCCTTTTGTTCTCTTTTTGGATACTTGGTTTAATAAAACAAATTACCTTATGGTGGAAATTGCTGAAGAAAACAATAAACGAACATAAGAAATGGGAACTCACAGTAGCTCTTGTAGCTCTTGTAACTCAGAGTCTTGTAGTAGCTGCTATGCACAACAGAGTCTGATTCTTTGCTCTTTCCAACAGTTCATGATCACCAAAATTTTTGTTAAATCCTCTAAAAACAAGTGCGGCGTCAAAAAAGTCGTCAAAAGACGCAAAAAAAAGTTTTTTCGTTAAACCTAAGAATCCGCCGTAGGGAAATATTTAAATTTCCTATTAAAACAAAGCGGGAGATGATTGCATATCTGAGTGCTGAGTTACACTTAAAATCCCGAGTTCGGGTAATTATTGAGCACGCTGTAGTAGATTGTTCCCAAAAAAACCCCGCCTCATCAAAGGCCATCCACAAAAGAAAATTTGAATGATTAGATAAGACGATGATAAAGAGTCGTACTGCTCAAAATTTTCATTTGCCACCAAAGAGCCATGATGCCGAATATTGTCTGAAACAATATTTCTAGTTATAGTTTGTTTTTTTTCCTAAAACTTTCCATAGCCCAATCACCGGAGTGAATTCGAATCTTTGCGCAATTCATTGCCTGTGGGTTGGACTCTGGAAAAAGAGGGAACAATCGACTAAAATCCCAAATTTTTTGCCTTAACTATAATTTGTATTAAACTTAGCTCAAATTTTGGGCAGTAGTTCATTGGTCAAACTACTCAATTCCCATTTTGCCTTAAATTTAAACATTATCTGAAAAAGTGTATCAAATTTCGTTCGATTTCCCCTCAGAAACCCCAACTCTTCTCCATTGTGCTCCTTTCAAAAGCATTCCAAACCGATGAAATTGTTTACACTCATCATAAAGCTTTTTATTCTTTTATGCAATATTTCCTATGTGAAGACGACAGAAAAGGCTGAAGATTCAAAAATCGAGTAAAAATTGGATTTTTTTAATAGAATAATTGAAGATTTAGATGTGCTCCTGCTGGTTTCACAAAATGTCGAGATGAAATGCAATGTATTGATAAAAGGTTTGACAAAAGTGAAGCATTGAACTTCAAAGATTAGGTGGATGTGCGATGGACGAGTTGATTGTGTTGACAAATCGGATGAGGATCCAAAAATTTGCAAAAGATCAATGAGAAAGGTATAAAGAGGTCCACTTCTACCTATTTTCCTACTAAAGGATTAGGTAGCTAACTGGACCAGTCTTAGCTTTTGCTAATATGCGACTTGTGATCAAAACTAGGTCCACATGGAGGGCTCTTTTCCATTGGGTGCTGGCGGATGTCTATCGAAATGGTTTGCATGCAGAGATGGTGGATGTGTGGCTCCCAAACTTGTTTGCAATGGAAAACGAGACTGTCGGTGAGTTGCGTCCAAATACCGTAAATCCAAATTCCTAGAGACAATTCGGATGAAGGAGCTTTTTGCAACTTGTTCACTTCTCTCACTCGTGTCGAAGGAAAAGAGATTGTGCACTAGTAGTTCAAAATAAATTGGAAATTTATTGAAACCAGAAAAAACTTATACCACTCACACATTTTGGCCAAAGTGGGGCTTTTAAAACTTGTAATCGTGTGAGCAAAAAATATAGTTGCAAATAAAAACGAAAGAATGCGAATAAGGGTGCCCAAGGACACAAGAAGCTAATCGACAACAAATTCAGTGATTTTTATAAGGGAATGGATAGTTACGAAAATTTTTAATAAAATCAAGAACAACGGAACCCAAGACTTTCATAACCGTTACACTCAAAGCACTATTCGCACAAAATCGTCGTTACAGAAGAAACGGGTAACTAGAAAACGATAATAACGAATTTCGTAGAATATGTAACATTAATCACACTCAATTTAATAGTAGGCATGAGGGGCAGGATTCTTGATAGAATACAAGAGAGAAAAACGCTCACAGCAGGTCTAACATTCTCTCGATCAAAATCACAAATTAGGCCAAAGAGCTCACAGTTTATAGTGGACTACAAAAACTTGACATGATAGTTTTTAAAAGCTGACAATAGAGAAAGAAGATAGCGTACTAAAGATTCTCATGCATACCTGAAAAGTGGCGAAGTTAGGAAAAAATGATTGTATGTGATGACGTGAGCTCTTTGGTTTAGAGAATGACGCATTTCTTCTTCTTGTGCTCCACTGGTGGTTCCAGTGCTGCCAAAATTGCTTCATCGAAGACGTTTTTCAATCCCTTCTGAAATTGGAAAAGTGATGTGAGAAAAAATAATCGATTAGTTGACTAATGCTTGAAAGTCATGAAATACGTGAATCATCTAACATTCGCATATAACCAAACAATCATTGAAAAAGCGTGTTGAGCGAAATCAAGTGGAAAATAATTTTAAAGGTAGTTGGTCATTTCATCAATTAAACATTAAAAATACCTGTGTCAGAGCCGAGCATTCCACATATTTGACCGCCTTTAGTTCCTTGGCCAACTTCTCTCCCATGTCGGTGCTAATCGGCTTCTGTTTGTTTTTCGCGAGCTTTTCTTGCATGCCAGGATCTTCACGCAAGTCGACCTAAAATGCAATCGTATAACAGAACGCGTCAATTGTTTGTCTACCTGTGTTCCGACAAGAAGGAACGGAGTTCGAGCGCAATGATGAGCGATTTCGGGAACCCACTAAATTAAAATAGAAATTGAGCCAAACCCAGTAAAATTACCTTTTCTTTAACATTTTCGAAAGAAGCTGGTGCAACAACGGAGAAACAGACAAGGAACACATCAGTTTGCGGGTAGGACAAGGGCCTCAATCTAAAAAATAGATTAGCATGTAAATCTCCACACTTTAACAAACCGGTCATAATCTTCTTGACCAGCCGTATCAAAGAGACCGAGTGTGTACGGTTCTCCACCAATCATTACAGTTACCTAAAACTTCTAATAGATGTAAGTAATTAAAAAACTTACAGCATAGTTATCGAAGACGGTAGGCACATATTCCGATGGGAATTTGTTGGTGGTGTACGAGATCAGCAAACACGTTTTACCGACCGCACCATCGCCGACCTAAAAACAAAAGCAAATTGGAATACGAGCAAAAATCACTCACCACAACACATTTGATCGTTTGCATTACGCTGAAAGTTGGCAACCCGTATCTAAATTTCAGACTTTGTTTTGATACTGTAAAGGTTGAAGCAAAAAAAGGAGCAAAATTAAGGAGGTATTTTTTACAATTCGGTAAAGGGTGTGAAGAAAATTCATCATCACTTCATTCGGATTGCACGATTTCGCAATAGCTTTAAATTTTTGCCAAAAAAAGCCTCAATTACACAAATTTCTTTAGCGCTCGTTGAAAAAATGTTAAACAGTTTGAAAAAATACTTTTGCTTTTGTGAAAAAAGGATGGGAGTTTTGCCACCCGCGAGTATTAGTTTTAAAGGAAATTTGCGTCACTTAATTAGGGATTCAGTTTTGTAACTGAATATCTTCAAATTTTTTGATTGAAAATTTGGCAATCAATTCCAAATCAAAGTTTTCATTTTTGCTTTGTACAAAAACTTTTTAAAGAGTCAGCCTAATTTTTTTTGATTTTAGTAAGCTTGCAAATCGTGACAATGAAGCTAATACGTCGACTAACACTTGAAAGACGAGCAAGTTGGAAAGGACAGAGGTACGTGCACTTTTGCGAATTTCAAAGCATTAAAGGAATGGAGTGGGTGAGGAAATTGAGTGGTTTTTTGGGGCAGTAGTGTTAACAGCGGCTTGGCTCTGTTCGGCTGCCTCGCCAAGCCGCGACGCGACTACTTGATGCAAAATGTTCGCCCCTCTCCGGTTTAGACCTAGAGACGCAGATGGCCGGTTCAGTTTTACGAGACCTGAGCTTTCTCCCGCAACTGTACCCTTATTCTCTGCTCTCTTTAAATGCTTTGGCTTCATTGTTAAGCCTTTATGATCCCCAAATAGATATTTTCTTGTAGTTTACAGATAGTCTGCTTATTTGAACGTTTAGTAGCCAAAAGGAAATGAAGAAATCTTTACTACATCTTCTCCATATGATGCTTGACTTTTTGAAAGGTTTTTGTGCACGGGGTTCAATACCAAAAAAATTTATTGATTTACAATTAAAGGAGGTAATCGGCTTTGAAATTTTTAGACATCACTCCGTATTTGTTGTTAGCGACACAAGTGTAGATTCCCTGAAATGAATGCCTTTTGAGAAAAGTTGCTCGGTACCTGATCTCCCATTGTAGCTGGATCAATTTCCAACTTGCTCCACGTGATATTCTCGCTCAAGAACTTTTCATAGAACTAAAGTCAAATGGCTTATTTTGGTGATTTCAACTCACATGAATATTTGGCTTCAAATGTATTTCGGCACCTTCCTTGTACCTTAATTGATTGTTTATTTTAGGAGGAAATGGTATCAAATGGTAAACAAATGTGAATTATTTAATTTGATATCGTTATGTTAGTTATGAGCTATAAAATAAATATTTATTACTTAATTATTATTAAACCAGTATTTTGTGTAGTTTAACATTTCGAAAACCTTTCTAAAGTTCTTTTTACAATTTTCTACCATTTAATTGAAGGTCTTGGCTCTCCTGCAGCTTTGCAAATCAACACTTGTTTATATCCTAGTCGAAAAGATTGATTGAAATGAGAACCAGTGATAATCTGGGCACTCTAAATAAATTGGGTGATAAGGATCAAGTTGCTTTGATTCACCCGATTATCGGCCAATTGATTCGAAATTAACGAAAACTCGGCGATCTGTGCGAACTGCAAATTGCTTTTGCTTTTCCCTTTTGCACCTAGAATATTTTATTTATCTACTTCTTTAGACTGGTTCCACCTCGTCTTCCTCCTTTGCCACCGGTGCCCACAATCATGGCAGCGAGCAATATGACGAGCCTCTCAAGCAACATTGCTGCTAACGAAAAGGCGAAAAAAGAAGTATCACCTGCAAAACTGCAACTGAAAGCTCCAACTAAGAAAAAACGAAGGTATCCGTTCAACCCGAAGAAATTTGCTTTCAAATTTACACCAAGGAAGCGAAAAGGAAAACGTGAGTTTTGTAATTTACGAGTTTTATTATTTATCAAGCTTTACAAAAATTGAATAATTGCTTTTTGTTTTAGAAGGCAAGAGAACAATAATGATGACTAGCTGCCCTCGTGAATGGACTCGGTTTATTCACCCTGGATATCGTCATTTAATTCCATGGTAAGCTTTTTATAAAAGTTTTATAGAATATTTATGGAAGATTAATACAAAATGAAATTTTTGAAGAAACCTAATTGTTGAGTGTAATGTAGAAAATAAATGGGCCAAAGTGGTCAGCTGTTCCACCTCATGAGTCGCTACGAAAAGAGCAGTTTTTAGGCGTTTACGAGTATTAATTCTAAAAGCTCGAAACTAGAAAAATAACCCGAATTGTTTAGCAAAGACTGTTCTGCCATTTTTAGGTGCAAACCTTTTCAAGGAATTGTGGTGAAGAGAAGTTTGGTTACGCGGATCAGAAATCACTACGTCTATTACTTTCCATTTCCGCGAGTGTTTCCATATTTTTGCGATAAGTATGTTTTAAAATTATACTTAAATCCCATATTTTTTTATTTAGCTGTCAAACAAATACACCGTCACTAGAAATTATCCAGAATCACAATTGCGTCAGACGTAAACCACGAGATTTTGACCCTGAAAATGGTTAGTGAAGTTGATAAATTTCCAGTATTTGTTTTTAGAGCAAAAGATTATTACGCTTGGATACAGAAGTAAAGCAAAAGACAGATTGGCTGTCATGGAAAGGCTGCCCAACCCGCAACATTATCAAGTTGTCTCGGTAATTGATCATATTTCAACTTTTACTTTAATATGTTTAGTATCACTTTCACAACGAAGATGATCCAGTGATTCGAGAGCAATATGTTCCAACACTTGCGTGAGTATTGAATAAATTTTTAAAAAAAATAGTTTTTTTTAGGGAAATATGCGTTAACCAATCTTTGAGCTTACAAAAAATTGATGAAACGGTTGATGAGCCTGATGAAACGGTGATAGACCTAGGAAAGTGTAAGAATAAGGTGGGTTTTATTCAGCATTACCAAAGTGTTTTATTTTTCGAAGGCTATAGTTTATGAAAAGCTTCATTTTGTTATTTTTTAGGTATCCGAACATTGCATGTGTCTCACATGTGGACTTGAATTTGAAACCGCTCCCGAGTACTTTGAACATTTATCGGTTGAGCCCGAGTGCCTCGAGAATCGGCAAAACCCTCTACTTTTGACTCAATGTTGATCTCATATTCTTATGTTTATATCTTTGCAACATGTAACATGTAACCGGTGCTGTAACTTTCATGATTATAAACACGGGTATAATTTTTTTGTAATAAAATTAATTTAATGGTTGGTAATAAAATGTTATATTTACATTTGGTTTTACAACATCTAACAGCTACGGTTGAAGTCGACCGAAAAGTTTTCTCATGTAGACACTTACCTTTCTATCGATGGCTTTCGGGTCTGACTAGGCTACCGTAGTTTGTATTTTTGGCAGGAAAAGATGTGACCTCCCGTATTTTATGCTTGCGCTCTCTATGGTTTAGCCAAATTTTGTACACTCAATTGGATGTTTTACAATTATTTATATGCGCCATGATCATATTTTCATTTAGGATGCTTGCTCGTCAGGCGGCTGTGCTTTGTCGTTCCGCTTCGACAAAGGCCCATGGGAAAAGGGTGGGTTTTAGATTTTTAGGAAACGGTAAACTCTAAGTGTGCTAAGCTTTTCTATTGCTTTATTAGTTTGGAGCAAAACTTTAAGTACCCGTTAAGCCAAATAAAGTCGCGTTGGTAGCATGATTTTACTAGAAATAGTTTTCAATTTAGGTCAAAACCTTCGAGATTTATCGATACAACCCGGAGACTCCCGGCGCAAAGCCTTACATGCAGGTTTAATTTATCTAACCCACGTCAATATTATCATTGTAGAAATATGACGTTGATTTGGACAAATGCGGTCCAATGATTCTCGATGCGTTGATTAAAATCAAAAACGAGGACGATTCGACACTCACCTTTAGGCGCTCATGCCGTGAAGGTAAATTTGTTTGCAAAATAAATCGTTTTATGTTTACAGGTATCTGTGGTTCGTGTGCTATGAACATCGGCGGCACGAACACTTTGGCGTGTATTTGCAAGATTGAAGAAGACACAAGCAAAAGCACGAAAATTTACCCACTGCCGCATATGTTTGTGGTGAAGGTTGGCTGGAGTTTTATACATTTCTTATTTTTACTGGCTTAGGTTTTTTATTTGACTAGGTATCTATTGCCTGATTTTCAATATAGGTACGTATTCAGGATCTCGTTCCGGACATGAATCTCTTCTATGCTCAATACGCTTCTATTCAACCCTGGATTCAAAAGAAGGATAAACTGACTTTGGGTGACAAGCAGATGCATCAGAGTGTTAAGGAACGAGAACGACTTGTAAGTTCATATTTGATTAGTTTAAGCATCTCTCCCATTTCAGGATGGTCTCTATGAGTGCATTTTGTGCGCCTGTTGCTCGACTTCTTGTCCTTCCTACTGGTGGAACGCTGATAAATACCTTGGACCAGCTGTTCTCATGCAAGCTTACCGGTTTGTAGCTTTCCTAAACAGAAATTTAACTGATAAAATGTACATTTTTAAAAACCCGTTTTTAGGTGGATCATTGATTCTCGAGATGATTATGCAGTTGAGCGCTTGCATCGCATGCACGATGCCTATTCGGCTTTCAAATGCCACACGATTCTCAATTGCACAAAGACATGCCCAAAGGTTGGTTTGATCATTTCCGATAAATGTAGTCTTGGAGTTACTTTCTGAGGCTAGATTCAAACAAGCCTATCAAGATAAAATGGTTGATGTTTCAAAGTTAAATTTTAGCATTTAAACCCTGCTCGAGCTATCGGAGAAATCAAATCACTTTTGGTTGGACTGAAGACAAAGCCAGCTCCCGATCCTGCCACATTTTAAGGTAAATCTCGAGTACAAGATTTGGTATAAGTTCCAAGCTTTAAATTTAGCTCTCTCAAACGTCATGATCAACGACGAATCCTCAACAATTACCAGTCGAAATTTATAGTTGGTTAATGATTTTTGGTCAAGGCTTCCTATCTCTTGTATTTCTTTGGGAAATGCCTTATACTAGAGGTTTTATGTTTCTTGGTTCTTTGACGGAGTTCTGTCTAATTTTTATCATTTTTGGTCTTCATCTAAACCGGTTCAGAAAGACCCTTTAGCCAATTTAGGAGATGTAGTCCCGTTTGTTCTCTGCTTGTGCTTTTTATATTTCATTTTAAAGTTCGATAAAGTTTAGTCTTCACAAAACGCTTTTACCGTAACCACAGACAGCTTTTACATCAAAATTGAACTTCTAATGAGTTCAAAGGTTAATCCGTTAAACGAACACGTTAATGACCTATCCTTCACACAAAATTTATCAACTCTATCTGTGTGGATAGAAGGAGCGACGATTTTCACGTTTATTTGCGCACTCTTTAGGGTCGATCAAATGATCGAACCCTCTCTCTCCCATGTGACGGCTCAATTTCTCTCTTTTTCTCCCATTTACTTGTTTCTGTTCAACGAATGGCAGACCGATTTTTTCGAAACGAACGGTAATGAATTTACTACAACCACACTCTATTGTGTTTCTGATTTCTTCATCCTTTGAACAAAGATTCTTCTTCTCTCTTTTGTCAAGAAGTGGAGATTGTTTGCATAGTCAAGCAGGCGCTAGCCTAGCTCCTTGTCGCTCTAAATAGCAATGATAACATTAGGAAAAGACATTTGTCTTTGATTTAAACAATTTGTAACTTTATTACTCCTTTCTATCTCTACATGTTTCAATGCTGAACTAGCTCGTGGCCACGTTTTGCAAGTTTTACCGATCAAAAGTGGAGATCATATTCGGTAGGTCTTGCAGCAGTACCTATTGCATTTTGGTCTTCCATTTTTTTTGATGCCTCTCTAGTGGTGCGTATATCAAAGAGTTTACGGTAGTTGAATACTGTAAAATATCTGTGTTTTGAACCCAATCCGAAAACTGATATTTGACTATGACAAATGACAAATCGGCGGGATCGGTGAAAATTTTGTCTATTCTTCGCAATGAGTATCTCTACCTGATTTTTCCCCCATGTTTGGGGATCTCGTGCAATCTCTCGCCAACTGTTTCTCCGCCCATTTGAGCCTTGTATCATCAACGTCAGTTCTCTCTTTGTGTGCCAAAAAAAAAGAGCGCGCAGCTCAAAAGGTGACCCGGGGTCTGTTCCCGCCGACCCACCCAATCAATGTCCCTTTCCCCTATGCTTTCTATTTGGTGGATCTCTCGCGTATTTCTCTCTCTTTTATTCTCTCATCTTTTCTCTCTCTCTCAAAATTCCCTAGAATTCAACGTTCATCATTTTTTTGCACTTTGACAACTTCTCGTTTCTCTTCTGTTCAACGGCATCTTTTCCCCTTTTTTCCAAATTCCCTCACCGTTTTCATGTGCTTTTCCCGGGTCTTCATGTGATTTTCGCTTCCCCACTTCCCCATTTCGCTCTTTTCTCTTGAACAAATAAAAACAAAAAAACTTTCGTTTTGTTAGCCTTTCTATTGATATGTTAATCGAGAACAACGTGATTTTTGTACATTTTTGAAACCGACTTGCTTTGAGGATATTTTTATATCAAAACTTTAAGCTTAACCATATCCAAAGCGGCATATGATTAAGCTTTTTTTTTGCTTTGATTTTGCCAACCTTGTGCCAAAACTGATTCGCTTTTCTTAAACTTGTCCAATTTTGACTTTAAAGTATTATCAGATAGCGCAGGCTTTATAGATTCTAATAGTTTTTTGAGTTTTTCAAAATCTATCACCAAAAACAAGTGTTTAAATTGTGGTTTAGCTTATTGAAGTTTAAATTGAAGTTTAGCAAAATCGTACACAAGACAAGTTGGTCACAAAAGTACACACCATTTTTGCGCCTTTATTTTTTCGTACATTGCTACATAGCCAAAAGCTTATCAGTCTCTGCATTTTTTTTTGCCTCCTTTCTGTGGTTTTTCTATAAAATTCAACATTCAACATTTCAATTTATTTTACTCAAATTTCTTGACCTTTTTTATTGAAAGCTAAAAGAGTTCATTCATTCATTTATTCATTGGAATTCAGGAGAAATTTCCCCGAAAACGACTTTGACGATTCGTGTTTGATGTTATCTTCGGTTCAAAGGTTTGTCATCATTTTTCTGTGATCTTTGAATGGAAAATTTGGGGGGGAAAGGGTCAAGAGTACGTGGAATAACTTGAAATCTAATAAGTTCAAATCTAATAGGTTACAAACTAAATGTACAAGCTAGACAATTTCTGAATCGAGAGGAACACATTCTAAACAGCTTAATGAATGCATAGCCAAGGTATTTCTAAAGGAAGAAATAAGGGTGTGTATAAAGTGCTCTAGCTTTCATTTTAGCCAATCATTCTTTCGCTAATATTACGATCAATTTTCAGCCGCGGTCTCGCCGAGGGATGCAGTGGTTTGAACGAGAATGAAAGGATCGTTTTCATCCGGAGACCTGGTGAGCAAATTTTGGATATTAGATAGGATATTGGATACTATTGGACAGGCCTCCTAGGATCCTCAAAAAAAACGGTAACATATAAAGCCCCTTGAGAGGAAAAGGTGCAGAAAAACAGCGGAACCAATCTGTTTGCATGGTGGATTGCTAGGCCGTTGGTTTCTCAATCCGAGCCTTCGGGGTTCCACCTTCCCACCCACAAAAAATCTCTCATCTTTCAATCCTACCTGTCCAGCCAGCGATCCAGCCAGGGGTTCCACCCCGCCGGCAATCAATGTTTTGGCGAACGCCGGTCCTTAGTTCCCCTAGTTGAATTACTAGTTTTTGACTTTAAACAAAAAACCTTTTCTCAGGTGAAAACTCACCCCCATCAGCGGATTGTTTCCAACATGAGACTTGTCATTTACCGACAAGAGAAGATCTCGAACCGGGACAATGCATCGTGAGGACACTCTATCTCAGCGTCGATCCGGCACAGGTAGCGAAAAGAATGATTGGCTAAAATGAAAGCTAGAGCTAGAGCACTTTATACACACCCTTATTTCTTCCTTTAGAAATAGCTTGGCTATGTATTCATTAAGCTCATTAAGCTGTTTAGAATGTGCTGTTTAGAATTCATTAAGCTGTTTAGAATGTGTTCCTCTCGATTAATCGATTAAAATTTTAATCGTCCAACTTTAATCGATTAATTAATTGATCGCGGGGAACACACTCTTGAACGGCAATTTAGAAATACCCTAATTTACCCACGACTGTTGTACAATGTTTTTACAGAGATGTCGCATGAATGCATCAACTGGCGTCGACTATTTGGCACCATATGAAGAGGGAGGACTTGTCGATGGTTTAGAGGGAATCGGAGTTGTGGAGGTGGGTGAGACGTCTCGAAACTTTGACCAGAATAGTGATAAGAGAGCTGTTGAGCTCTGGCAAGACCTAGCTGATTATTTACTAGAGAAAATAGTAGTAAATATTATTAGCAATAAATAGCAGCAGTCGCTTTCAGGTGGCCACCATTGAATGCACATTGAAGAGAGGCGATATTGTGACCGCTTGTGCGAATCTCTGGCCATGGACACGGGTTTTCATCGCTGATGGGCAAGATCTTGTGAAAGTGGGTTTGAAACATAAACCAAAGCATCATAAACAATTAAAATGTTTAGGTGGAATTACCCTCCGGCTTCTCTCCATCGATCATTCTATCCGGAGTGGGCATCTCCGGGATGACCGCTTTGTTGGGAATTCGAAAAAAGGCACGGATAAGGAGAGATCGGAAAGAGACAATTGTGGTGTCGGCTGCAGCCGGGAGTTGCGGATCGCTGGCTGGACAGGTAGGATTGAAAGATGAGAGATTTTTGAGATTCATAGACAAGAGCTCTACAGCTTGACTAGCTCTACAGCTCTAACATTGAAATTTGCAAAAACTGGTCTAATTGCCTAAAAAATGTCATTGAAAGATTTCTAGAAACGAAAGAACAACTTGAAACGAATTCAATTCGAATTCGAATTCAAATTGAAACGATTTCTCGATTCAGATCGCTCGATTAGAAGGCTGCACTCGAGTCATCGGTATTTGTGGCTCAAAAGAGAAAGGAGAATGGATTTGCAATGAGTTGGGATTTGATGCAACGATCAATTACAAGTATGTCAACAATCGACCAAGTTTAACCAGGGCTTTTTGAACCAAGAAGTCAAATAAACAGAAGAAATTCTAGAACCGAATCGGTGGGCGATCGTTTGGACGAATTGGCGCCAAATGGAGTCGATATTTATTTCGATAACGTCGGCGGTTTCGTCTCTGATGCGGTTATTCAAAAAGTGAGTCAAGAACTAACAAAGAGAATTTGATTATTTGAATTTGATCCAATTAAGCTCATGATTAACTGATTCAGCCTTTAAAAAGATGCAAATCTTTTTACATGACACTGTAGAGTGCCATTAAACACTGTAGAGTGCCATTAAACTATCATCGAATATTCATTAAATACTTGAATAATCGGATAATTCTCTCGATTTCCTTATTGCAGATGAATGTCGATGGTCGAGTGGTTCTTTGTGGTCAAATCGCCGTCTACAACACCGATCTTCCCTATCCACCGCCGCTGAATCCCTTTGTCGCCGAGATAATCACACAACGGAGTATCTCACGGTGATTTTTTTTGTACAATATTGTTGAATATTGTCCGTTTTTGAATCTATTCACTATCAGACGTCCGATTCAAAATCAAAAGTCCGTTTTTGAATCGTTTATTCGTTCCTAGATATAAACGGATGTGGACTAGAATTTGGGTTAAGTTAAAGAGTTAAGTTAAAGGGTTTAAAGAGTTAAAGAGTTAAGTTAAAGGCCCATAAATTATTACCCTCTGCACGTCATTCTTTTCTTTACTAAAATTTTGTAAAAATTAATTTTGATGTTGCTCGGAGCCGAACGACGGCTATTACCCTAATAAATTTTTCGCGCAGAGGTTGGACCGAGCGGGTTGGTCACTCCTTTGTTGAGTTTAAGTTGTCTAGTCAGAAATTTGTGGGGATAAAGAATAAAGTGAATAAGCAATATAGGTAAATATAATAAACAAATTTCTGACCAAGACACAAGTCTGGTTGTGTTAGAAATGCCGAATTCTAAGGTGGAACCTCCATATTCGTTTCTAGGTATAAACGGATGTGGACTAGAATTTGGGTTAAGTTAAAGAGAGTGGATCCCTTTTGATATCCCTTTTGATATCCCGCCATCTCTAACACCCCGACAACCCAACTCAACTCCTCCAACGGGGAGTCCCTGTGAAATGATCGACCAGAGGGGAGTCCCTGTGAAATGACCGACCTGTACTGCAGTTGCATAGACCCGGAAGATATGTATCTTTATTTACAGTAGTATAATAAGACGAATAGATTACAAATAAGTGTAAAGGGGAAGGGGGAACTCTAAATCAGAGTCTCATTTGTCCTCCTAGGCAATCCCAAGGACCGCCCCTTCTCGGCAATAAAAGGGATAAGCACAGGCGAGGACACATTTGCATAAGAATAGACAAATCATTCAATAATAACAATAGTAACTAAAATATCAGTTGGGCTCGGAGCTGACAGTCAAGCCCTTTTGCCAAATCATTTTAACTAGAGTTTGCCTATCTGGAAATTTTGACTGGGGTTTATTAAAATAGAAAATTTGATACTTTTGGATTATTTTCGTCAAGTGTCTATGAATGTCAAGAAGAGAATTTTTAACAAACAGTCCAAAGGGTATGCTATTCAAAAAATCCTTCTTGCAGATATGCGTTCCCTTTCAACATAGATTTCAAAAATATCCAAACTTTACTACTAAATCCTCAAAACTAACGCATTTTTTTTCCTTTTAATCATTGAGCATCTATCATGAAACTTCACAAACGATGTACAGAGGTCTTGACGTACAGAGTGTCCCAAAAGTTCTTCTTCTTTTGTAAAAAGTAACTTTTTGAGTTCAAAAAAAACAAATCAAGAAAAATCGTCAAAGTGTAAGTTGGGCGATTGAAAAACAGACGTCCGCTTCAGAACCGAACGTCATTTATTGAATAGATTCAAAAACGGACATCCGGTTTTGAATCGGATGTCTGTAATGGGAGGAAATTCAATAACGGACGTAACTTATAACGGACGTAACGAAGACTGTTTCCCATTTAAAGCTTGATTAGTAATAAACAGAAATTCTAAGATTCATCAAATCCTTCCAGTGATCGTTTCCTCTTATTGGCGCACAAAGACGAGATGGACTCCGCGGTGGCACAGCTCAGCCAGTGGATCACCGAGGGGAAATTGAAGGTAGCTGGCAATCTAGAATATGATGGTCAGATAAATACGACTTATATGATAGTTATCTTATACTAAGATTACATCTGACACAAAGATTTCCTCAATCGCGGTTCCAGGTCCGCGAAACCGTCTACGAAGATCTCTCTCGTGCTCCACAGGCTTTCGTTGACATGATGGCCGGCAAGAATATCGGCAAAATGGTGATCAAACTCTAAGCTGATCAAGAAAATATAGGATTTAGTAGAAAATCTTAGTTTGATGACTCATTTGATGACTCTAACTCATTTCTCCCCCATTTTACTGCTTTCTAATTTTCGCTTCACTTATTAGGATGCTCGCTGCACAATTTCTTTTTCTTTTTCTTTTTCTGTTTTCATTTGCCCAGAAGTGTGTCATTTTTTTTGTTTCTTTTTCTTGAATAGCCTTATGAACCGGTTAAACGTTTTATTTTTGCGGTTTTCTTTTTTTTATTGCTGAAATTTTTGTGTACCGGTAAATCTTAAAGTTTATTATCGATTTTCATGAGGGAATTCGTGAAATAAGCGAAGTAAAGCAAGAAAAAAAGAAGCTATCAAGGGCTATCAAGGAGCCAGTTTTATACGAAAGTCAAAGCATAACCCATTCCAGGCACCACCGTAAACCGGCTATGGTTTCATTTTTGAACATCTACTAACTGGTTACGGTATGGAAAGGGTTAGCTCTAGCTTATAGCTTTCCAATTCGAGCATTTGTACTTTTACCTGTACTTTTGTACGTTTACCGAATTTCACATTGAGATTTCTTTCCTCATCAACTTCGGAATCCTTCTGAATCCATTGAAATCCTTTTTCTCCATTGAAATCTTTTTGTAGAAAATCTCCGTTTCATTTTTCTTTTCTTCTTGCCTTATTTCTTTAAATTTTGAAATATCCGCTTAATTTTGTTATTTTTTTTAGCTGCTTTTCAATACAGAATAGCCTATTTCGAGAAAGAGTAAAGTTTATTTAAAGGAAAAAAACATTGAACAATCAAGAGCTCTAAATCAAAATCAAGAGAACAATTCACAAAAATAAAAAAACTAACTTGTCAAAAAAGCGATAAAGCTGTAAACAGGTGATGTAAACAGATTACAAATGCTTTTGTAATCTGTTTACAGAGCTTGGACAGACTAAAAACTCATGAACAGATTGGACATCCGTGTTGCGTGATCCGTTGTTCCTAGTTTCTGGTAAGCGATCGTGACCTTGGCGGCTTTGACCTGGACCTGACCTGGACTCGCAGCTTGCAAACAAGCAACTAGTCTAGTAACTAGCAAACTAACAACTTGCAAAATATCTAGCATTTATTTTACTAGATCTAGCAAAGTGTGGACTCGAGCCCTGAGCTTGTAGCTCAAAATTTGCCTTTTAGAAAAGCCTATGACTTGACAAATTATTCAGATATTCATTCAGCAAACGAAAGCCACTTCGGTTTTGGCACTAGCCTCATCATTTTCCCCAACTTCTTTATCCCCTCGTGATTGAAATCTATTTGAATGTGTGTGAGAAACATGGATCTTTTCTTTCCCCCAATTCTATTTACCCTTCTCAAATCCATTTTTCTCACCTCTTCAGATCGAATTGCTGAGAGGAGAAAAGATCCAAGAAAATCCAAGAAAATCTCACCTAGATCCAGCTTATTTTTATCGCAATTGCGAGAAATTTGGCACCTCTTTGCCGCTTAAAAATCTCGGCCACTTGAGAGATTCGCACAAATATTGGCGTTGGAGTCGAGCCCATCACATGCTTTTTTTGCACAACAGCGATGGCCGATCGTTGAGCCGGTAAACAATAGCTTGATCGCTGAATATCTTATAGATAAGAGTTGCGCTAGGATACAGTAATCTGAATAGATATTTTGGATTCAAACCTATTTTACAGGAACTACATTAATCCTAAGCGTAAAACCTTACAAACGTTTACTAACATTTTACGGTAAAGACAATCAATATGAAAATTGGGCTATGACCCATCAATTGTGTCAAGACTGGCTCGAGATCAGCACAAATTAGAGATTTTTGCTTAGAGAAACAACAAAGCGAACCCTGCCAGTAGCTGTGCGACCCCGAAAACCTTTGGGTACAAACTTTTGCCTTTATATCTCACCTGAGCAATGTTTACAGAACAAAAGAAATTCCTTTGTAAAGAGATTTGGAGGTGTTCTTTGTGCGGTCTTTGTGCGGCAGCGTAATCGCTTGCGGTCTGGCGCAGAGCTTTTCCTTAATAGGAGCTGCTTCTCGTCATCTTTGTCGTCGCCCATTTGTCTCAGAGCTGAGTGTGGGGGTGTTGTGCACGCTAGCTAGAGTAGACAACGATAGACTTTAGAAGAAAAAGTTAAGAAAAAAGAAGAAGTGAAGAAGAAAGATGGACTTTAGAAGTACGTTGTTTAGAAATTAAGTCCCTCGAATAGTAATCCAATAAGGGCTGTCTTTTATCCGAAAGCTATAGCTTTTAAACTCTCATTTGAAAGTGAATGATGTACTTGTAAAAGCTCAAAGTTCTACTGCTTCTCCTCGTTCGATCAACAATCACAAAAGAGGTGAGAGGATTTTCAAAGTTACCCCTTCCAAAAAGCACTCACTTCCCCCTTTGCCCACTCTCCCACGTGTTCTTTCTCTTTTCACTTCAATCGGTCAGCTGCTATAGAATTTTCTGCAGTTTTCTAGGAAGAGCAGTCCATTGGGGCAGTTGTTGGCCAAACTGTGTGTCCCGATGAATCTCTTTTCCTTTCTTTTTTTGAGAAGAAAATGTTTCTCTTTTAGTTTCCCCTTTAGCTTTTCCCTTCGTTGCACGAGAACCGTCATTCGTCAAACGATGAGATTTTCCTCTTTTCCTTTTCTCTACGATTTTTTTTTACTTTTCCCAAATCCCAGCAAACAACCTAACCCCATTTAGCTGTGGACATTCTGTTCTGTTCATTGAAAAATTGGAAACTTTTGAAAAACAGCTCGATAAAGTTTTTGGGATCCGACAAAATACAAAACTGAACTTGTTGCTACACTCAAAAGCAAGACTAATCTTAAAGCGAAAGCTGAGTAAACCGCTTTACCTAGGAATTGATTCAATAAAGTTTTCATTTGAACAATACAAGAGTCATTTTTGACCTCTAAAGAATCCCCTATGTATTAGACTTTCTGGACAGCTTAAAAGACCTCAAGGATTATATAAGTAAAGCCTGATCAAGCCTGAATTCGAATAGTCGGTCCTAGAAACAGTCATCATCATTGAAACCGTTAATTCCTGAGCCCTTTCCCTTTTGCTTGACCATCATTTGCACTCGGGCCAAAGCCAGCACTCAAGAAAAAAGCTCTCATAAAGTGCGCACAGAAAAACCGCCCCCTCGTGTGGTCAAAGCTTTTTAACTTTTTTTTGCATCTCGAGAAACGACTTCAGTTTTTGGGGGATAAAAATAGGGTTTGTTCTTTACAAATCCTATTTTTATCCCCCAAAAACTGAACTTTGTCAAAATAAAAGTCAGTCTTGAAAGCTCTTTGAAAGCTTTGAAAACACAAAGAACATTGAGCTTTTCTGTGTTGAAATAACAAGTTTCCCAAAAAAATCGAGTTGAGTGATTTCTTGTGTTAAAAGTCATCAAATTTCCTTACACTTGTCGGCAAATGGGAGACATTTTCTGGGTAGAAGCGATCGCTTTTTCTCAAAGCTTCTCCATGTACTCACTTTTTGTGGAAGACTCCTCGAAAACCACAAACAAAATCTGTTCCACGGGAAAAGGTTCAAGAAAATCTCCCGGATGATCACTAAACATTAAACAAGAGTAGAACAATTGTAACAACTATATTTAGCTGACTTTTTTTAAAGCTAAATATAGTTTACATCAATCAACAAAATCTACCATCAACAAAACTCAGAGCTATTTTGCTATTTTTCCGATTCAAAGCATAGGCAGTAAGCTGCTTGTAAAAGGATGACTGAATGCTTGCAGAAGGATGACTGAATGCTTGTAAAAGGATAAGCCTAAGCCTAACCCTAAGCCTAAGCCTAAGCCTAAGCCTAAGCCTGAGCCTAAGCTTAAGCCTAAGCCTAAGCCTGAGCCTAAGCCTAAGCCTAAGCCTGAGCCTGAATAGCTTTTGTTTTCATTTGTAAGCTTTGTTTCTGGTATTGAATTGATGTCAGTGTTGTTTCTAAATGTCCCTGTCCTCTAAATTTCTAAATGTCCAAAATCTAAATCAATTTCTTGAAGAATAAATCTTACAAGCTATTTTCTAGATTTATCTACAATTGCACTCAATTTTCCCATCGAAACTCGATCCGCTGACCGTTCCCACTTGAGCAATACAAATGAAATGTTTGAAAGTGAAAGAATTGAGATTGAATTGAGATTGAGTAGAGAGTGAATAGAGATTGAATAGAGATTGCGTTGATCTCTCCTCCCATTTCAACTACACTCTACACTTCACTCCGTTCTTCAAGAACTCCCTTCAATCTTGAGAAAAGGTAAATCTCTCAAAGAAAAACAAAACAAGAAGCAAAAGCCGACTTTGAGTGGTGAAAGTTCAATGGGAAGAGGCACAAATTTTCAAAATTCAGTACTTATTGCTAGAGAATTTTATACTGGGTGATTTTAAAGGATTCGATTTTGTACTATACGTACTATACGTACTATACGTAGCTCTTAAAGCTGTGCTTTTTATCTATTAGGTTTTTTGGATATAAACAAGCGTGGCTAAAAATTTTTGTTTGTGATAAAAACTTTTAAAACCTATCTTTCTTTATTTAATTTAAATTTATCATTTATTTCGTCAAGGAGTATCGATTAGGCCCCGGCGACAACAAAACCCAGCCGGAGTCATGGATGAAAGTCATGGATGGAAATTCATGGATGAACTTCATGGATGAAAGTCTTGGATGAAAGTCTTGGAGGAAAGTCATGGATGGAAAGTCATGGATGAAAGTCATGGATGAACTACATCAAAGATAAAGTTCATCCATGACAACGCTAGACTAAAACGCTCGTTTATATTCGAACAACCTAATATGTCTAGTTGTTTAGAATTTATAAGATGTAACCTAAAATTGATACGTTGCACAAATCACTCAGCAAAAACTGGAGAATCTAGGATGGAAAGTTCTATCACATCCGCCGTATGCTCCCGATTTGGCTCCCTCAAATTACCATTGATTCCGGTTGATGCAAAACCTTTTGGCCAATGAGAAGGCCAATTCAAAATCCGTCAAGTTGTCCAAAATTGGGTCACCAAGTTTTTCGAGTCACAGCCGGCTGAGTTTTTCAAGAGCGACATCAATTCTTTGCGCAAAAGATGGCAAGAAGTAATCAATAATAATAATAATAATAATAATACTTTATTCAAACGATAAAGTGAAAGAAATCATAGAGAAATGCACAGTGATACTTAATCATACAATACATACTGAAATCAATAAGCCAATTACTTACGGCAAAGAGCCACTAGATCTAAAGCATCGATACGTTTCTTGAATATGAAAAGCGACTGAATTTCTCGTATGTCGTTTGGGAGCAAGTTCCATAATCTAGCGGCTCTAACGGGAAATGAATTTGATAAAGAGGCATTGGAAGCAAAGGGAATTTGCAAAAGGAATGAGCCACTTCTGGGCCCTGACCGCGGTTTAAATTTGAAAAAGTCTATAAACAAAGGGCTAATCTGTTTACAACGGAGGATTTTGAAAGTTTCGACTAAATCAATGACAAAGCGACGATGCTGTAAAGTTTTTAGTTCAAAAAAAGCAAGTCTAATGGTGAATAGATTTTGGTTTTTGATTGTTTTTAAGAAAAATTTTTGTCGACTATTAAAACTTCAAGACGATGGACCTGGTGCTCACCCAACGGTCAGACGAAGTGCGAGATAGACCACATCCTCGCCAACGGGAAATGGACGCTTCTAGACGTCGGCGTGGTGCCCTCCTTTGTCACCGGCTCAGACCATCGACTCGTGCGAGCAAAAGTGAAACTGAGCGAACAAATGGCAAAGAAGATCCTCCATCGACCACCAAAGGAGAAGAAGCTTGCCAAGTATTAAAACGCTCGTTTATATTCGAACAACCTAATATGTCTAGTTGTTTAGAATTTATAAGATGTAACCTAAAATTGGTAAGATAGCTATTTTAACAGCTAGTTAACAGCTAGTTAACAGCTAGTATTCAGTGGACAATTTTCGTTTTTCAGTCCCAAATCTTTCCTCATCGCTGGCTTTCAGCCAAAAGATATTTTCTCGACTCACGTATCTTTTGTTTTCCATCGTTTTCGGTTTCACGAATTCGAAACGCTTGAAAAATGAGCGCACAATTGCTGTGCCAGGTTTTTAGAACGAATTCTCCACAAACAACAGCTGACACACCTCAACATTCTTCACACAGATAGGGAAAACGGAGAAGAGAAAATGGGGAGATGGAAGATGAATTGAAGAATGAAAGAATGAAAGAAAGCCGAGCATCCGTATGACATTGTGAAATGAACACACTCTTACATCATGAGTTATTTTTGAGAGGAAATGATTTCACTTTTTTTGATCATTGGATAAGTTTCACGCGGTACTTGATCAAGTTTAAGTTTTCGTTCACTTCGTTCAGCTTTCTTTTCATCAGAAACTTTTCTGTCACGTCTTTTCTGTCTTTTGTTGTTTCTGTCAAAGTTGGTGCAAAATAGAAAACAAAATACGGTAGAAAATGCTTCTCTGAGCTCTCTGTGATTTCTATTTTACACTTTTAACCGATAGGAAAAGTTATAGTAACTACTGGCTACTGTAGCTTTCTCGGAGCTTTGGTTTAGCTTAGGCTTAGGCTTAGGCTTATAGGCTTAGGCTTAGGCTTAGGCTTAGTGCGAAGGCTAGCGGCTAGCGCCTAGCACTAAGTCTATTTGGGTTTTGGTTAGGCTTAGGCTTAGGCTTAGCTTGGTTACTCTAGCTTTTCCGAATATAAAACAGAATTACTGTTGCTTCATCGATTTTTCTTTTCTGGGTAATATGCATACTTATAATACCCTTATAAAATAAAGTTTTCAATTGCTTTTCAATTGATTGCTTTCAAAAGATTGACCTTTCCCCAAGCCAGCAAGCAAGGCCAAATCCCCTTCTCCTCCGCTAATATAACAAAAAAAAACATGCACACAAAATACCCTAGAAAAAAAAGCCTCCAAATTATTGTCGCTGTAAAGAGCTGTGGGATAAGGAGAGAAAAAATGGGCCATCAATGGATGAAAAGAAGAGACGAGCGATGAACTTTTCCCCTTTTGCTCAACTTGTCGATTTTGAGTGCAGCACATGGTCGATGAAATAAAGAAAAAGGAAATTGATGTGATCTCGTGGATGGAGGATAAAAAGACTTTTCTGAATCTTTCTCAGTCTTTCTCCTCTTCTGTGATCTCCTCAATGGGCGGAGTCGTGGTTGATGAGTCGCTTTTCTTCCCCTTCCCATTCTCGAATCTTTTCCAAATCTTTAGCACTTTCTTCTTGAGATTTTAACCTTTTCTTGGTGTTTTACTTTGTAGCCGGCATGGCCGACTGGTTAAGAGAGGTGTATCTTGGTCGGGAGGTCAAGGGTTCAATCTTGTCGGGTGGATTGCTGGTCCTTTTTTATCATATATATTTTTCCCTACATTTTGGACTTTTGTGTATTGTTTGCACTACATTATTAAATGTAAATGTTTACTAGATCTTTGATGAACTTCAGAACTTTCAGAACTTGACACTGGAACCTTAGAAAACCAGTAAAAATCAAATAAAAACCAAGTACTTTCTTACAAAGCGTCGGAATAAAAGTATTTAGCTTAAGAAAGACTTAGATGAATACTTATTCAATTATACTGTAATTGATCAAGAAATAATCACTTTAAATCACTTTATTTTGGGCTTCCAGCTACAGTAACTTTGATAGATGTAGATAGAGCCCATGAAATTACCGTATTTTCTCTAATAGTGGTGCACCCTGAGCGTCACCTAAATTGCTCGAAATCTCGAGAACCGCTTATCAGAACCTATCGATGTGGGGTCGGAAAATGTAGCTGGCGATGAGATCTTGTGGGGGATTAGAGTGTTGAGCTTCTGGAAAAGCTTGGAAACCGTAAAATAGTCATCAACTCGGCTCGCTAGGGTGCACTACTATTAGAGAAAATACTCCGAAAGCGTGTCAATTCATCAGCTATACTCTACATTCTTTGACTTGAAATCTTACTAAAATTTTCAACAAAATTTCAACAAATAGCCAAATTCAGGCCAGGTTTTTATTGTTTCTTTTTGCTTTTCTTTCCAGATGAAATTAAGCCAGAAGCAAGTCAAAACTGGAATAAAATCGGCTATAGTCAAATCACTGATCTTGCTCGCTTTCTTAAACTCATCAAAAACAGACAGTTGATCTTTTTTCTCTATTATTCAAATTATTTTAGAGAAGTTAAAGAGAATTTAGAGAAGATGCATTTAGAGAAGTTAAAGCTGTATATATCGGCTAAAGATACCTCAATTCCTCGGTTCTCTTTTCATTTCCTTTAATTCAATATACTCGATTCCTTTCCCCGTTCTCATCTCTCTATCTATCCATCCTTCTATCCATCTATCTATCCATCCACCTCTCCACCAGCATCTCCCCAATCACCACGTGTTTGGCATTTTCTTTATGGGGTTTTACTTTAACACATAAATCTTTTATCGAATGTTTCAAAGTCATCAAATTCCAAAGAAAACTTTTTTTACAGATTCAAAATGGTGAACGCTCAAGTGTTGAAGGATCACGCGTCCAAGTATAAACTTGGACGAGACAATGCCGCTGAATATTTCCGACAGTCGGTTTTTGGGAGAAAATTCGAGAAAAATCTTTGTTAAGGTTCAAAAAAATAGCTAAAAGAAGAGATCTTTTCCACTTGGCTTTTAGATTTTTATTGAAACTACCAGTCGTAAAACCCGGTTAACTGCGGGTTTTTCCGGCCGGGTTTTGTTGTCGCCGGGGCCTAGTCGTGAGCGCGCGTGTCTAGCGAGCCGGGTTCGACCCCCCTGTGCCACTTTCGAAAAAATTTCAGTTTTTTGACCCAAAAATGGCTGAGAAAAACCCCATACAGACGGACACTGCTCTTTTATATATAGTAAATCCCGAAAAATGGAAATTTCAAGTGAAAATCTAAATTTTCTTTGTTTAAACAGCTAAAAAACACTTAAAAACGACTTATTCTCCGGTTCCGAAAAACTCTATTTAGACTTTTCACCAAACATCCCGAGCTCGCGAAATACTACGATGCCGAGGATCTCGACCCCGACAGTTTGCACAAATCGCAAAAGTTCATGATGCAAGGAATGCAAGAAATGCAAATCTTCTTCCGGTTAGTTGGGGAAACGTTTGAGAATTTGTTGCAAGGCTGGAGTTGGACATTTATGTAATTTCATGAAGTAGACTTACAATTTGTGAGTTTAAAACTAGATTATCACATAAAACGAATCAAATTTCTTTCTTTAGATTGCCGGACGCGATCGATGACGAGAAGAAATTGCGCTCGTGTTTGGGTGATTTCAAGAATATCTATGAGGATAACAGCTTCCCGATTGCTGAGTGGGGAGTGAGTTTTTTTTCTTCAGAGAATTTAGCAGACCTTTGCGAGAATCTTTGGAGAGAAATATTCCTTTTTTCTATAGAATTGAAGAACTATTAGTGAATAAGTGTTTCCATTCAAAAAAAATGGGTCAAAAGCCTTATCGAGACTTAGGTCGTTAAGTTATCGAGACTTAAGTCGTTAAGTCTCGATCTCGTTATCTCGTCAAGTTTCGATAAGGTTTTTAGCTCACTTGTTCAAAAGAAAAATCTAAGTGATAGGTATGATTAGATAGCTTAAAATCTTGGCTTTTAAATTAAAAAAAAGTTCATTGGAATCCGATAGTGTGGAGGCTAGATGAAGCGCCTGGAGTTGCGCGACCAATTTGTCTCGTTAATTCTCGTTAAGCAAGTCTTAATTGCAAGAATTGCTAAGTAGTATTATTATAGTAAGCATTGCTAAGTAGTTTTCTAAGTAGCCAAAAAAATCTTGGTCAAGCAATTTAAAGCTAATAATGCTTTGAAGAAAACGATCGACGGTTTCCTGGCGGCAATGGAGAAATGCGCGGGTGGAGTGTCGGCCGATCAAAAGAAAAATTGGGAAGAAGTGTGGAAGAAATCGATGGAGGAAATGAAGAAATGGGGATGGTTTAAATAAATTACACAAAAAGCTCCATTTCTAAAGATTTATTAATGATTTTATTGATGACTTCAGTTGAAATCTTTTCAAACCAAACTTTTCCCCCATTTCCTCGACGCACTCAGTTTCCTTTAGGAAGAACAATTCTTTGCCAACCATTAAACTCTTTGCTTTTCTTGAAATTTTCTTTTTTTTTAAACCTTTGCTAAGTATTTCCCAACAAAATCCACGATTTTGGTGGGTTTTGTGGAAAATATGAACTTTCAGGAGGATTTTTGATCAAAATTTTAGGTACTTATAAGTATTTTTCTTTTTAAAAACGATCAAATAAAAGAAATTTTAAATTCTATGAGACTTCAGTCTCGGTTACTGGTATTTTCACCATTTTCCGTATTTCGCCCCGAATTTTCTTCTCTTTTCATGTCTTTTTTCTTCTCTCCTCGATTCCAAACGATTTGTATATACGCTATGCGTGATTTTTTTTTGAAGAATAAAGCTGAAAATAAAATTTGGATACATTTGCATAAAGTTGTGACAATCAATTCGCGTTTAAGATGGCTTGCTTTAACTTTGAAGCTTTGAAAGTTTGAAAGTTTGAAAGTTTGAAAGTTTGAAAGTTCGAAAGCTAGCTAGTTCGAAAGCTAGCTGGTTCGAAAGCTGCACTACCGGCTGTACTAGCTGTTCGAAAGCTGCACTAGCTGCATTACACAATGAAAGTTGTGACAATCAATTCGGTGACAATCAATATTTGAAAAACGATCGTCACTTTCGCGCGTCTGTAACTTCCTTGTCTTTACCTCTAAATATTAATATCTCTAAATCTCTAAATATTAATATTACCATTGTGTAGCCCATGCAAAGAGCTTGCAGAAAATGTCTAACACTAATAATTTAAACTCAAAGACAAGGGAGTTAGAGACGCGCGAAAGTGACGATCGTTTATTCACATATGATATTTCATTGTCCAGTACTGTAGCTTTGAAAGTTTGAAAGAGTAGTTTGTCCTTTTAAGATGTGCGCTCTAAAACGTGTCAATTTTTGGAAAGCCATCGTAATCTTTGTCTACTTTTGAGTTGATTTGAGAATTCACGATATAAAAAGAAACAAAAAAGAATGGATAGAATGGTTTAAACGATAGGAAATATCGGAAAGATTACGATAGGAAATGGAAAGATCAAAAACTGAGCGATTAATTCGGTATGCTGAATGAGTTGAGCATTTTTCAAGTAAATTGAGAGCTTTTTAGAGGAAATATTTAGCTAAACTAACAAATCTATCACTAGTCTCAAACATCAATCTATCGATGTCAGACATTTGATGTTCAAAATCTCAATTCAAAGTGCCGGGAAATGCCGGGAAACGCCGAAAACCCGAATCTCATGTCTCGAGTGTTATCTCTGTTGACTCAATGTTTCCATCATCAAAAATCCCAGGTACAAATGTTCCACTCCTATTAGGCTGTGCAGAAAAAGAAACGAAAAGATTTTACTTTCCGTTCAGCCTAATCTAAATGTTCGTTTCTTTAAGAATCTTTTTGTTTTTCTGCAATTTCTACTTACATATATTGAGGCAACACAATTCTCTATCCACGAAACAAGAAAAAAAAATGTGAAGAAACGTAAAAATTAGAGGACGTGACACGAAAAAATTCATAGCTTTTGTAAAGAGAATTTCCACGGGAAAGGACAAAATGAAAAAAAACAAAACACATATTTTTTAAAAAAATCATATAAATGCAATAGCATTTGCATATTTTTCAATACACAAGAGAGAACATATTAGATATTCAGGAAAGGAAGTGGATATTTGAATGGACATTTAAATGGACATTTAAATGAATTAGGAAAGTCAACGATTTTTCATTACTAGATTTCAAGTTACATACAAAAAAGAAATATTTTTGACGTACAAGAGAAAATCCAAAGAAAAAAAACGTGTGTGTGGTTGGATCCTGCCGAGCACAAAAAGAAAAGTGGATTAGGGCAATATTTCTGCGGAAAAATAAAGGAAAATCACGGTTTAATACGGTAATTTTTGTGAAAACAGTAAAATGATGATTTCCGAATGAAAAAGTAAACTTATTCACATAGTGACACAACGCTTAGAGGCCGACTTTTCGAGGCAGAGAGGAATTTTTAGAGAGCAAAAGTTTCGAGAGTTTATGCAAATGATCAAATCGAAGACTTCTCGAAAATTTTGTCTTAGCAAAATAGTGATTGTCGCATATTGATAAGGATTTCTAGCTTAGGGTTCACAAATTTGCATATGAAAATTCCGGCAAAAGAGACAGTACGTTTTTTAAAATTCAAAATCAATGTTGCGACCATCACATTTGTGGCTGAGGAGGATTCGGGGAATCACAAGGACTTTGGTGTCTTCATTGACGGGAATTCTTGCTTCCTTTTCTTGCTGACGAGTCAAACTAGAGTCGAAAACTATTTTTAGTGTATTACTTTGGGCACAAATGCGAGAAGATTCTCGGGTTTTCGAGGAATTCGAGGAATTTTCCTTTTTTTATCGTTTCCCTTTCAAAATTCTCCTCCTCAAAAGCCCAAAGAAAACTATCGGGAAACAATTATCTCCACAGAAATGACAAAACTCAACTGACTATGATGGCAAGTGGGGGGAGAAATGAAAATCGGGGAAACGGTTTGGAGGCGAGGAAACAAATAGAAGTGACAAAATGTGGCAAAAGTTGAGTTGATTTGAAGAGAATTTGGTCAATTCATAGAGGGGAATTCAAAAGAAACGATTGGATGATAGAGGCGAGACATTGGCGAGATTCACAAGACTATCTTCTAGCTGTTTTCCCTCGCGTCTATTCGGCGTCATCTTTTGCCGAGGGTTCTTGCTGAAAAAAAGCACAATAAGACTAGTTCAACAGTAGCTTTTTTATACTTTCAATACCTCAAACAACACGTATGTTTTTCTTAAATTTAATATTTCATTGGTGAATAAGTCTTCGTTCCTTTTCATACTTGCGTTGAAAATAAATGGCTAACGTTGAAAAAGAACAAATTCATCTATTAACCTATGGTTTTCTCTAAAAAGTGTTTATTGTTCAATATCCCATCTTTTTAAGTCAATTTTCGTTCACTTTCAAGCAAATTCGAGAGTGAGAACGTGTTTTTCGTCACCAATTAATCGATAATGACGAAAAATCTACAAAAACTTCTATGAAGAAATTGGCTGAATCAATTTCTGTGAAAATTTGGCTATATACCAAACTTTTTGTGCTCTATCTTTTATCTATTGACACCAAGATAAGTTTCCTCAGCTAAGGTGTCTAAACCGCATTATCAAGCCGCACTTTTTGACTGCCAAACTTCACCCTACCCAAAAAATCCAGTCATAAGACATTTTAAACCCGTTTTAATGTTATTTTGCAGAAAAATAAGTGGCCTTTTTAATGAAAGAAACCGTAGTTCAATTGGTGAATTTCTTATTTTTCAACGGAAGGACGAAAAGAAACGAAAAGACTTATTCACCGACTTTAGTTCACTGAACGGACCTTTACATCCTTTTCAAGAAGAGTTGCTTCTGCAAGCGATGTCTAAAATGATTCTTATTCTACTATTGAAATGTGTTTCCCTTACTTGAGGCAACTCATCACCGGGTGTGTCCGGCACAGTGTACGTGACAACCGGAGGTTGCGTGTCCGCGTCTGGCTGCCCGACCGCTTCTTCCGCTTCGACCTGAAAAGCTTGGGTTGACAATGTGTACCGCTTGATTTTTAAAGCACTCCACCTCTTCAGCTGTCCCCTCAATTTCACCGTCAACTATCACTCCACCGTCTTCACCACCATCACCATTTAGTTGACCAAGCTTTTCAAGATTCTCCTTAAGCAAACAGAAGCTTTTTGAAAATTTTGTTAAATCAACAAACTTTATAACTGATAGCTCCCAAATGATGCATATGTTGTAAAGAGGAAGCAGCAAGCTCCTCATCTAGTTTCCTCGAGTATTGAATCGCTTCCTCTGCTACGCCACTCACCTAAATATATGTCTATTAGTTGAGGGTACTATATTATTAGTACTATACTATTAGGCTTATTAGTATTTTATGAAATACTAGAACTAGTCAAAGAAGTCAACTAAACCTACAGTTTGCTCAATTAGGGACATGTTCGCCGGCTGCCGAGCGTTAGGACGATTTCGTGGAGCGGCGGGTGATATTCGGGGAGGACTGTCCGGCGGTGGTGTAATCGGTCTCACCTGAAAAAAACTAATGAAAAGGTTCTGGAGATGCGTGTCTACTGGATCAAATCTCTAGTACATTTATGGCTTTTGCATTTTTAAAGGATGCGGCATTTATAGTGCGCCCTACAAAAGGATGATTTTCTCAAAAACCAAGAGTTGACATTTTTTTTCGTTTAGATATTTAAAATCTAGGACATTTTCCCACTAGATTCATGAGTCTGTGTAGAATTTAAAACTTCATTCCTTTCATATAAGACCTTAAACGTGATTGCTGCTCTCGAAAAAATCAAATTTGTCAAAAATATGCTATTTTTGTTAACCAAGATAACTGGTTAGCAATAATGGAGCTCAAAAAGCACTACTTTATAGTAATTAACTCTAAAAACGTATTTACTTTTATACTTTTATAGTAAAAACTAAAACGTATGGAGAAAAAGATGGAAAAGATGATTTTTAGAGACCCGGAACTCGAATTTAATTCTTTTTCAGCATCGTGCCACATAGCATTTTTTTGTACTACTCGGCTAGGGTTGTCAAAGTTACTAAAAAAATGTTACGGTTCTTCTATCCTATGTAAAATTACGCATAGATTTCATGATTAATTGTTGTTTTTCAGCTTAGACTAATGTATTGTCTTAGAAAGTCAAAAATATGCATCAAGCGCAACACTATATGCCTCATTCTATACTTATAATTCAAAAAGTACCTGTTGATATGGAGCCGGCTCATCGTTTCCGGGTCCAATCCTACTTCTTCTTCTCGCATTCATAAAGAAATTCGCCACTGTTGAAAGGTCAAGTCTCAAATGCTCGGCTATCGTTTGCTGCATTTCTCTTGATGGTCGTTGAGTCTCTTTGAAGATAGCCTAAAAAACAGTTTTACACCTACTTATTGATAGCTTCAGCTCACCTGTAACGTTCTCTTCTGAATGTCGGTGAAAACGAGTCTTGGGCGCTTGTTCGACGGTTCACCATCCCCAGGAAGCCCTAGAGAATCTGATAAAATGAGCCACTAGAGCTGGTAAAGCTTACCGGAATTTCTGGCTCTCGTGTGATGACGAACGTTTTGCGCGGGCGTTGGCGGAGACATTCCCATTTTGGCAGCTCCATTTTCTCCGTCCAGCTCTGAAATGCTTTGCTAAGTCTTTATTAGATAAATTTAAATTTCGTATTACTTTTTCACCAAGAATTGTCCATATTTCCCCTTTAACACATTCACAAAAAACGTCATTTTTGGCTTAACAGCTATCTATATTAGCTGTAGACCTGAAATTTTGTAACCTAAAGCATTCTGGGATGGAGAATCTGAATCCGTTATTAGTTTTTGAGCAACTTTAATTTCCGAGCCAATACAGGCATCACAAAACTCTCTAAAACTTGGGTAATTAGAGTAAAAAGAGCGAAACCAAATTTCGGCTTTGTCCGAATGAAATATCCACAAATAGAGCAGTTTTCTTTAAAAACTAATAACGGGATGGAATTCCTCATCCTCAAAAACCCCTAATTGGAAATTTTGAGCCTAATCGGCCTCAAAAAAAAATGCTAAATCGACGTACCACCGGTGGCCGTCCTGAATGTGTTAAATATTCAAAACTTTTTGTTTCTCATAGAATTTTCTTTGAAAATGTCACAAATCAAGTGAATTTGCCAAATTTCGCTCGTCCCATTTTGAGTTAAAACGTTAAAACTTCAAAAAAGAGTAAAGAGGTCGCCCTTTTTGGCATTCTCAAAAAACGATGCGATAACCGGTTGTCTCCCCCTTTTCCGTTATGAGTCGACTCGCAAATCGACATTTTATTACTTGTTTTAAACTTAGAAACCCCGAAAATGCTCATTCAAAATGAAAACAAAAGAGTTTTTGAAGTTTTAAATTTCATACCTTTATTGAACATGTCCAAAATGCCGAGTCGCACTGCAACCGGTTGTCGAACCCAGTTGAACATTCGACGAAATGTCTCTCGTCCACTTTTCAATTTGTTCCATGGCTTTGGATTCCTCAGCAAATCGGACAATGTACCTTGACTTCTAAAAAAACAAAAATTGCAAATAGAAAATAGAAAATAGAAAATGGGGGTGGGACAAATGCTATCTTTTTTGCGCACCTGGACATTTGCGCACCTTTTTTGTTGGAAAAGGCCTTAGGAAAGGTTGTAGAGCTTCAAAAATGTTTTCATAGAAGGGAATCGTATGCGTAGATTCAGAATTTTGACGAATCACCTCGCTGACACGTCAAATTTAGGCTAAAAGGCAAAAACTACGCAACTTAACGCTTTTCCGCAGTTTTTGCCTTTTAGCCTAAATTTGACGTGTCAGCGAGGTCTGATTTGTCAAAATTCTGAATCTACGCATACGATTCCCTTCTATGAAAACATTTTTGAAGCTCTACGACCTTTCCTAAGGCCTTTTCCAGCAAAAAAAAAAGGTGCGCAAATGTCCAGGTGCTCAAAAAAAGGTCGCATTTGTCCCACCCCCATAGAAAATAGAAAATGCAAAAATACCTGCAAAGTATCCTTTCAGCAAATATCGCTTGAGGGATCGAGTGTTGTTTCAATTCGTAAGCGATTCGTTTACACAATTCCTAAAAAGCATTAGATTTAGCGCTTGATTCCGAAATAAAAACACTCACCTTTGTGTCAATATAAATGTCGTCATCAATCTCGGCATTTAAGGGATCACTTGTGTCCTTTGTTGAGTAGGTTCTTTTGCCTAAATCATTTCATTAAGCCAATATTTCACACTTTCAAAACCATGCCAAAGGTTATATTCTCTTTCAACACAAATCTATTTATAAAAAACTTATGAGCAAAAACATAATTTGCGCAAATCTGGGGGAGAGAGAGAAAGAGAAAAGAAAAAAAGGCTCTCCCATCACCGACCCCCATTTTCTCTTTCTTCTTTCTTTCTCCTTATCAAAAGCTATCTTCTACTTTTACTCATTTCAATCCCTTTCTTTGTTTTATGCCTTTTAAGCAGACATATCTTTCTTTTCTTTCTTTCTTTTCTTTCTTTCTTTTCTTTCTTTCATTTCTTTCTTTCTTTCATTCATTTCTTTCTTGTCATTTCATCTCTTGATTTCAATCCTTTTCACCGTTCTAAACCCTCTCTTTCTACCAACAGCACCCCATAAAAGAGGAAAAGAGTGTTGGAAAACTTTTATTCCGAAAAAAGACATGACCACGCCCCCTTCAAGGAGAAAACTTATGTGTGTCCTCTTTTGCTTTCTCTGGATGGTGTGTATGGATAGCTAGAGATTCTCTCTTCACACTGAAAATGGAATGGAAAACTGGCCGACTACTAAGCTGCTAATCCCAACACGGCATTATTATGATTTTAGCTAAAATCTTTTTTTTGTTCAGACTGTTCTAAGCCCAATGTACTCAATGGAAATTCCAGTTTTACGTCATTTAATCCTCATGCAATCAGTATTAAGTCATTCGTTATTTATAAGCATTGAAATACCGTGAACATTCTAATAGAAGCTTTTCTATTAGAATGCTTCTATTAGAATGCTTCTATTAGAATGCTTCTATTAGAATGCTTCTATTAGAATGCTTCTATTAGAATGCTTCTATTAGAATGCTTCTATTAGAATGCTTCTATTAGAATGCTTCTATTAGAATTAGAATGCAGCTCTTCTATTCGAATGCTTACGGTAATTGAATAAACTGGGAACATTGAAGTTAGACAGGGATTTGTTAATAAACTTCAAGACTCAAGGTGACCTTTAAGGGGCAATTCTGCGCGAATGAGTGAAGTGATCGATGTCTCTACATCAGAGAGACTTCCTTCTGCGTCCTCTGTATTGAATTACAATATATCATAAATACCTTTGGTTGGTTCAATAAAAGTTTCCATCCTAATAATCCGAATTGGTTCAATAAAAGTTTCAGTACTAATAATCCGGAAATAAAGACAAAAAGCCAAGCTAACTAAGCTAAAGCCAATGGCTTTCAATTGGCCTTGGACTGGCCTAAAAAACCTTGTCTTTGACTTGGCTTCGAGTGAAAATTAGGCTTTTTTTGCCACTCTCCGAACAAGATTTCTGTTTACCTTTATTGTAAGCTGGTTTGTAAATGGTTGGCTCTCCATTGACTGCGTGATCTCCATTCGCATGAGAAGCACCATCCAGACTCTCATCATCCTAGAATAGTGTTCATTCCAAAGTCGTAAAACGTTGTAAATTGTAATTTATCGTTTTCACTTGAAAACTTACCGTTTTTATCGTGGTGAGCCGTGAAATGAGCATGCTTCCACTGGGGCCCGATGAGTAATGAGGAGATGGAGAGGAATCACCCTGAAAACACTTTTATTGAAGCCTAAAGTCATTTCAATCCATTCCAATCTTTCTCTAAGTACTACAATTATACATTTTAAAATCTAAAACCTTGAATACCTGATCTCCAATCATGCTGGCAATCATGTTGCTGGCTAGCTCGACATTGCTCACGGCTGGAGGCGTTTCCGCGTTTGCCCGATCCAATTCCGCCTGAAACAAACGAAAATGGAAACCCAAAAACTTCCTGGACCTAATTAATAAATTCCCCGTCATGTGTTTTCTAATAGACATCCATTTTAGAAAACTACTGTAATCGTACCGCCAGTTTTCATTCAATCAACTCAATTATGGTATCTCGATGAGAAATCACAAGGCTCAGCCAATGAAACCAAAACTAAGTTGATTGGGTGTAAGCTACGATTACGATTTTGATTACGGTCAACCCGAGTTTCAATTCATAGATTCAAAAAAAATGAATAGCGTCAATCGATTCCTCGACCCCAAAAGTCCAAAAAAGGTAAAAATTCACAGCTGAATATTTTCTTTTTATATCACCTACATTCCCTTTGACTCATTGCTTAAATACCCCGAAAAGCAAATGGACATCCTTTTACATCATCTTACAAAAGAAGAATCCCTCTCTAAATGACTGGCGAAATGTTCTTTGTGCGGCAGTGTAATCGTTCGCCTTCTGGCAAACCGCTGGTATAGGGTTTTGGAATTCGTAAAGGGGAAAGAGCTGGATTTTTGCTACAAATTTTGCATTGCTTTAAACGAAAACTAGAGACAACCAAGGTCAAAATGATCTGTAAAGCTGATTTCATCCTTCAATCGCTGAGAAATGATTGATAAACCGATTTACTTTAATCATTTCTACATAAAACATAAAGTTTAATTAGTGTAGACTTTAAACGAAAGCCATTAATTAACGAATTAAGCCATTAATCAATCAAATTATACCTGATGTTGTGCTCCGATAATTTGACTTGAAGACATCATCAAGTGATGAGTCGCATCCAGATCGGTTTCCTCCTGAAATATTTTTATAAATCACTTGCAAAAAAAAAAATCTAATGTCGTTTGTTTGTATTTGAAACGAAAAAGACCAAATGTGTGACTCCTTTGTTTCGACTGAATACCGTTTGGCAATCGCTAGAGATTTGGATTTTGAAATCTTGCTTGCTTCAAAAGAAATGAATAATGTCAAACAAAATGACAACTATATATAAAAGATAGTTTTTTCTGTAGTCTACCTTGATGTACACTCCTCGATACTCGGATCCCACTGAATGCCGCCTTCCATCCATATGCAACGGGGACAACAAACCGGCTGGACCATTTCCGAAACTGAAAAGAGGTTGGCTTTAAAGTAAACATGATCAACTGGATCATGAACAACTGGCTTAGAGTTGCTAAACCAGAGAAAAAAGCAAACTAAAGCCAAATCTATTCTCTTGCATACCTTTGCTCTGTTCCAATCGCCATTGGAGCTAACGGTGCCAATTGTGGACTTGACGTTGCCGTTTCTCCATGCAGCAATGAATTTAAAGGAGCATTTGTCTGAAATTGTTAAAAATAAGCCAGGATATTGGATATTCAGTTATAAGTGACAATAAAGTTTCCAAAAGATCAGGTCAGACAGTACGAATAGGGTCTTCACTAGACATCCGATGGAGCTAATATTTTATCGTCACTCCCGATCTTGGCAGGAATCGAACCTGCAAGGTTTCGACTACCAGCCCAGCGCTTTACCAATAGGCCAAAGGCGCTTCTCGACAGCACACCCCAGCGTGCCATTTGCGGCTTGCGATTTCTCATTTATTATTTAAAATAAACCTGTTGCGGGCTAATTGTTTCCAAAAAGTTGTCGGGAAACTCTTCAATTCTAGACGAATTGCTGAGAAAAGTTGATGATGGATCGATATTTAAATAATCGTTCGCATTTCTACGACCTTTCTCCACACGAAATCTATAATACATTTTTAAATTGAAAATTTTAAAGATTTTAAGCCTTAGGCTTTTGTTTCTAATATAATTAGCTATGATAAATGATTGCGTAACAAACCCATTCGTGGAGGATCCCTGCGAGGGACATGAAGTCACCGCCGGTTCCATCCAAAACACACCAACACGGCGCGGTCAACTCTTGTTTTCTGTTCGTTTTCTCTCAATGCTTGGGGCTTTCCTTCGAGCAGAACAGGGCACTTTATTCGATGATGAACCCCAATTTGCAGATATTCTGAAAACAATCTTTTATCAAAGCTATTTGCCTCAATCAGAAATGAGCAGCTAGATGTACAAATAGAAATTGTAAGATTTTAAAAGGGTTATCTTTGAGTAAGACATCTTTCCTATTCAATTTTCCTATTCAGATTTTTAAAAAATTCAAACTGTCTGCAAAAGTTTTTCTTTCTTTTACGAGCAAAATGTCATTGTAAGCTTTATTGTAAGTTGGTTTGTAAATGGTTGGCTCTCCATTGACTGCATGATCTCCATTCTGTCATGTACTACTTCTAATAATAAATAAATCATTCTAATCGTCAAATATAAAAAGTTCTAATAGTAAATCGTCAAATAATTGCAAAGAAAAATAGCAGAAGATTGAAAAATTGGAATTACATAAATCCTGCGCTAAAAATCGAATGGTATTTCGTAAAAAGCGTTTGCTCGTTAAGGATTGGTATAGAAAAAAAGTCAGAGTAGTATATTTAACAAGCAAAAGGTGAGAGAGAAAGTTGGGAGAGCTATGAGCGCTTTTAGTAAAACGGGAAGAGGGTGATCAGCGAGTTGGTGAAATAGTGTGTTAATGAGGAGAGTTGAGAGCACCCAAACGCGACGCTTGCCATTCATTTTAAAGCGCTGAGGTTGGGAGAGCGATAACGCCTTTCACTTCGGCAAGGGACACTCCCAGTGCATGGAGACGCAGCTGCGTGCGACAAGGACGAATTTTCTCGGCAACGAATACGGTAGCTCAATGATGGCGAAAAGCCAAACAATTTCCCGCGAAATAGAATCGAGAATGACTACAAACGACAGGGATTTTGCAGATGTCTAAATAATGTCTAAATAATTGTATGACTTCTCTAAATACAAATCTCGCCGAGCTTCCCGTTGGCACTTTTCGGCAATTATGTGATTGTTTAAACGCGAACGAGCTCTGGATGAAGCTGCTTGATGGAGAGAAAACGAATATCTACTATTTAAGGTTAAGAATATAGGAATTCGCAACTGTCATTTAGTTCCGATGAAGTGGAACGATACGCGAGAATGGCCGACCCAGCCGAAACGCTTCTCAGGCTTTGGGGAACTCGGGGACAGACTGTTCAACTTTTTATCTCCAGACTCCAGGTTCAAGAAAGTGGAAATTTATAAGAAAAGAGGATTTCTAGGCGTTGAGCCGGGTTCATCGTGATCTCGTCGATCGACCACAACTCGTCTTGTATCGCAGTTTCAGTCAGTCTTAACTAGAGAAGATTCTAAGGGGACTCTAACGTAGAATAAGAAGATTCTAAAAGATCTTCCCTAATTAGAGAAGATTCTAAGAAAAATGTATCTTTTATTTTTCCCCATGCGCCCTGGTTTTCGAGAAAAACGTGTCCAAAGTTTTTTTTGGCGACCTCACCTATAAGAGGGCGCCAGGCCGATCCGTAGTAAAAGCAGCTCCAGCCTGGGGGATAGTGTGCTAGACTCTGACACCAATGCCACCTTTCCTCACGGGTTCAATTACACCTGACGCCAAATTTTGTTTTGGAAAGCTTCCGAGTCCAAGCTAGAAAGCCAAGCCGGTTTTCAGAAGCAGTCAAGTGGGCTCGGCCGGAAGAAGTTGAGATCTCGATCATCTCCGATGGCACCGAAATTAAACTCGTTTGTAAAGGTTTGAAAACAATGAACTTTGAAAATAGCCCAAATATCAAGTCATTGGTTTTCCTTACCCTCGCTTTCAATGGCTATGCAACGGGATGCCAATGGACGGTGTAAATACGGACACGCTGATCATACCGAGGTTAAGGATACAATCAGAATCTAATGCCAATTGCCTACTTCTTTAGATGTCAATGTTCGACGACTTCAAATTATCAATGCAAAGCTTGGAATGAGGTGGTGGAAGGCTCTCCGAACAGCGATCATTATAGGAGACGTGGGAAGCAATACTCGTTAGTGGTTTTCAACAGCAGAAAACATCTATAATCCTAGATCTTCATTAGAATCAAAACCTGTAAATATCGAGCCGTTGATTCGCGAGGATCGCATTTGTGATCAATGCCAAAGCGCCGAATATCAAAAACTCTGCGCCACTGTGGACAGCTTGAATCAGGCCGAGAACGAAATGCCCACAACGTCAAGAAGAAGTAGCAATTGGAGCCTAAAAGTTTCAAAACAAATTTAGTAAACGACATTTCCTCGATCGATCTTTTTGCAACGGATAAAGTCGCCCTGATAATCTCGAATTGTGCGTATCAAAATTTGCCGGAGTTGGTCACACCACTCTGCGATGCTGAAACACTAGCTCAAGTGAGTTTCAAGTGACTCAAATGTTTTTGAAGACTCAAGAGAGTTTGAAGAGTTTTGGAAGTAAAACAAACCGCATTTTAGGGCTTGCAAGATCTCAAGTTCAAGACAGTAACCCTAGCCGATTTAACTCTTGACGAGATGCAGAAGATCGTAAAAGAGTACAAGAAATTGCTTGGCTCGGGTGTTTACGGTAAGTTCAACGAATTTAACGGCTAGCACAACCATTCAGCTGTTTTGTATTTCGTTGGGCATGGCTTCGAAGTGAACGGACAGTGTTACTTGCTTCCAGTCGGTAAGAACAATCCTCAAGACTGAGAATGAGAGCTCAAAGTCTTCGTCTAGATGCCCCAGAAGATGCGCACACACCAGAGAGTTGTGTTAGCATGGATTGGGTTTTGAATGTCTTCAATGATCAATCGCCGTCACTTCATCTCATCTTGCTAGATGTTTGTCGAAAATTCTTACCGTAGGTATCTTCTGAATCATGCTGAACATCAACACTCTGAAGGTGATCATGAAAACATTTAGCCTCGAGTCTGTGAAAGGTTTTGTGGACTACGCGGAACAGTTTAAACGACGACTCCGCCCCAATAGAAACACTGTTTACGGCTATTCAACGTTAGTCACTTCCAAATCTCAAACAAATTCTTTTCTTTTAGTAGCGGTGGAGTTGGTGCTTACGAGGTGAAAGGAGAAATCAATGGAGTTTTCATGAAATATCTAAAGGTAATCAATTTGAAAGTGTAGAATAAGTCAAGTATTCAGAATCAACTTCCTCTGAACACTTCAGTGCTCGATATGCTGAATGCAGTCTTTAGAGGTACAAACAAAATCAAGCGACCATACCTTGATGCATTACAGATATTGAGAATGATGAGAAAGTTCGAGCCGTTCAAATCCCAGAGCTACGGTCAACACTGACACAACCCAGGTATTAGTGTTAAGAGATTAGAGAGCACAATTCTTATAGGAGTCTTCACGATGAGTTGATCTTCGATGGGCACACTATTTCTTATGATCATCACACGATACATTGGCGATTGATGCATGGTGATTGGAAAAATGAGTTATGAAAAAAATAGACTTCCAGAACTTCCAAACCCTGTGATAGTCCGGTTTCCGAATGTGAAGTTGAAGGCGACAATCTTTTTCGATTTTTGCGGCCATTTCACAAACAAGGCAAGACAAATTACTAGACAAACAAATAGACAAAATGGACGCCAAACATTTTCAGGTATACGTCTATTCATCAGTTGGTGATTTGCATTTGGAAGATGATATCGAAGATGAGACTCCGCTATCGGAGAATGCTCGATCTCATCTAGCTCTACTCACATTTCCTCCAGTAAAAACAAATGCCAAGCTTTGACCAAGAATTTTAGTTTGCTTCACTAACCAAACCCAGACTGTTAGAAGATGATGAAGAGGGAACCTCATTTTGCGTGTTGCTCTCTCATTTGCAAAGATTCAAGGTTTGTCTAGTTCTCCCAATGAGCTTATCATTATTTTATCAGTGTTCTAACGTACTATAATCCTGTTCCAGGGTGAAGTAACATGTTCGGTGCAACTTTGCTTGAAAGAGAGCCCTGGAGAAGCCGTCGAAATAGCTGACGCGAAACTCGGTCACGTCTTGATCACACGATTGGGACTTCTTCGATGACATTTTGTCGTTTTGAAAACAAAAAAATAAACTTTAAATTCTGTTAGTTTGTCGATAACACAGGAGAAGCAAAAAAAAAATCACAACAAAAACAAAGTCCAAATACAGAAAATTATAACAAGCTAGATTCTAAATCAACTTATGTCTATCCCTTCCTTAGCTAGAGCTTTTTTATCAACAAGTCCAAATTGCACTCTTTGAACGAGATACCTGAATCACTGATTTTGGCATAACAGAAATCAGATTCAACCTTTCAACGCGCTCAACACATCTAGGAAAGTAAAATTCGGCTAATTCTTTGATTCTTCTAAGAGTTGCCGGATGCCTAAAATTATTCATTGCCTAAGGACCTGTAATTTCAACACTAACCATTCTTGTTTATAGCAATTTTTCTTTTTCCAATTATCATCCCTCAAATGATGAACATTCCTCAAATGTTGTCCAACATTAGCTCGATAACTCGAAGCGAATTTGCATTTAGCACACCTATAAACAGAAAAAATATTTTACGGTAAAGTAAAATTACCTGAAGGGTTTTGAGAGCTCCTTTCCATGTGTACCGAGAAGATGGGTCACAATTTGCTCTACTGATGTAAACCGATTTCTTGTACGCGTGCACTCCTAAAACACATAAAGGACTAGTACCACTAACTGATATTCCTCAACCGAACAAGTGATACCATGCAGACGTGAAGCTGCATGTTTAGATTTTGAAACCCGTCCGGAAAGCTCTTGCTAAAGTCAAATAAGATAAGTGGATAATATAAGAGCATCAACAGTAAGCTACATGGTAAAGTTTGTACCTCAACATCGTCTAGCCCATCATCGATACCATCTGCTTCAAATCCTTCAAATTCGTCTCTCTAAACTGAATTCTTATTACAAAAAGACAGCCGCATCAAACCTTATCAATTGTCAAGTCACCTCGCTTTGCAGCAGACAGTATATCACCAAGACTTCGTGCATTTTGAGCAGGTGGGTCTACTTCTATATCATGCAAATCTTCAATATTCTCGGCTTCTTCGGGTTCGTTTTGATAGTCTTCTAGCGAACTTCGATCAAATGAGGAATCTTCAACTGCTCCGTTTGAAATGTTTTCGATTTTATCCTAGATAAATTTTTAGTTCAATGTCTAATAAAATTCACTTACCAAAGTCGCTTCTTTTGTTCCATTTGCTTCCTCGGAATCGTTTTCGAATTCTTCCAAAGTACTTCGAACATAAGACAAATTACCCGTTGGTCCGCTCGAATCTTTATTATTGTTATCCTAAATGAATTCATAAATTTAAAATCAAAAACGACTCACTAATCGTAAATCCTCCTTTGTTTCCATCGCTTCTTCAAAGATGGCATCATTTTGTTGAAAACTTTCAGGCTGTTCGGGGAGAGAAAGCTCCTATTCCTAAGTAATATTCAGCCAACTAGAAAACTCTTACCTTTGCATATGATTTTTCAAGCAGTTCAGCTGGTTGAGTGAACTCATCTTTTGAATTGGTAGAAACGTCACAACGAATGTCGCTGTTTGTCGTATTGGCCATCGCACAGTTTTCTGTCACTTTAATAGTGCCCACGTCGTTTTGTTGAATCAATTCCGGTTGTTCGGTGAAAAATGGTAACTCCTAAATGACAAAGAATGCATAAAAAATAGCCAGAATATTGAATATTTAAAACGATCTCATACAAATTTTAATTAACCTTTAATAGCGATTTTCGCTTTGACGTTGTCTTTGTGTAAAATTGTTGCAGTGAAGATACATCCATCGATGGCTCTCTTTTCCTAAAGAAATAATTTAGCCAATACCTACAACTTCAAATTTACAACACAAAAGTGGAAGTTTCTTCTTTCACAATCGAGTTTGAATGATTCTCGCAATCCATATAAAATGTGCTGTTTGATTCTTGATTCTAAGTGGAAATCAAAGATAATCATATAATAACGACTAACCGTCGTTCGACCATTGAAGAGAATTCCATCTGGATCACCCGAAACCAAATGTTTGTTCATGACTATGGGCTAAAAACGATCATTAACAAAAGATCTTTTGGAAAAGACAAAAGATACCCCTTCCATGTCCTCCAGACAACAAGTTGTACAACCAAAATCCTCTGATGCATCAGTTAAATTGACCAACTCAATAAAATGTTTAGCCAATTTTAAAACAAATTCACTTTGTCCTCAAAGCTGTCGCTTCCACCGACATCTAAGAAGCGTATATTGAACGATTTGAAGAGATGTGATGATGTCTAAAACATTAAAATAAAATAAAATGAATAAAAGCTGCCCAAACCTTCAGAAAGTCGATTAAAAGTTCTTTCACTTCATCTGGATTTACCGATTTCACCAGAGTCAACTCAATGAGGACCGACATCTAAAAAAATGTTGAAAAATGAAAAAAAGCTTGGTAGGTATGAGCAAAACAAAAATTAACAAGAAATTTATGAATGCGCAAAAAAGAGAAGAGGATTTATATAGGGGTGCGGAGGTAGGTATTCAATACCTTGAATGAATATTTTTAACAAAGACGCGGAAAATTAAAGGCAATACCAAAATTCAATATGCAGAATCAATAATGCTTTTGTATTTTATAAAGCTGTCCCACCCTAATTTTTTTTGGCATTTCATGTTTAAAAACAAGCTACATCTTTTTAACATTTCTTTGTCAATTCCCATTTAATTTTAGTTTACTTTTTCAGATGTCGATCGTGATAGAATTGACTCTAGTGGAATCAGCGAATCCGGATGAAGTGAAGGGACTTTTAAGCGATTTTCTGAAAGTTAGCGGATTACTTTTCGTTTTTTAATGCTTTTTCAGTCATCACCACCTATATTCAAATCAATGAGTATACGTTACGTACCACTTGAAAGAGATAATCCATCTGAAGAACATGTGAGATAAGTTTAGTTTTTTCACTGTTTGGTTTTAGTTTTTCAATTTGACTGATTCGGTTGAAGAGTTGGGATGTACAACTTGTTGCATGGAAGATGCCGAAGAAGTAATTCCCAAAGAGATCTTATTTTAAACTTAATTTTAGCCTATAATGATGTACTTTGATACAAGTTTGTCTTCACCTAATCCGAATGGCATTCTCTTCAAAGATCGTTCTTATACTGTTAGTGGTTCTTATATGATTATCTTTGATCTTCATTTAGAATCAAGAATCAAACAACACATTTTATATGGATTGCGAGAATCATTCAAACACGATTGTGAAAGAAGAACTTTTTGCCTCGACTTTTGTGCTGTAAATTTGAAGTTGTAAATATGGCCTAACTTATTTCTTTAGGAAAAGAGAGCCATCGATGGATGTATCTTCATTGCAACAATTTTACACAAAGACAACGTCAAAGCGAAAATCGCTATTAAAGGTTAATTAAAATCTGTATGAGGTCATTTTAAATTGACAATATTCTGGCTATTTTTTATGCATCATTTGTCATTTAGGAGTTGCCATTTTTCACCGAACGACCTGAATTGATTCAACAAAACGACGTGGGCACTATTAAAGTGACGGAAAACTGTACCATGGTCAATACGACAAACAGCGACATTCGTTGTGACGTTTCTACCAATTCAAAAGATGAGTTCACTCAACCGGCTGAACTGCTTGAAAAATCATATACAAAGGTAAGAGTTTTCTAGTCTAGGTATAAAAGTCGAATCAAACGAAACAGGAGGACATATGGAAAAGAATTTGGTAAAACTATTTTTAAATTTACTGAAAACTTATTTAGAATGAAATTGCTAACGTTTCAAACGGAGGACGGGTCGAATTCGAAAACGATCCTGATGATAAAATTTCAAACATTGATGATTCGTCATCCGGTCGAAGTGCTTTAAATGAGTTCGAAAAGGTTTTTACGGCAAAAGTACAAGAGGAAGAAGGGACTGAGAAGGATTTGGTAGGCGTCTTTTTTACTGTTTTTCACTCAGAAAAAAATTAGGAGGATATCGATAACATTTCAAACGGAGCAGTTGAAGATTCCTCATTTGATCGAAGTTCGCTATATGAATCTCAAAATGAACCCGAAGAAGCCAATGAGAACGAAGATGAAATAAACGATGAGAAATCACAAAGTATTGAGGGAAATTCTTCGGCGAAAATAAATTGGGATAATCTCGTCGATGTGCTGGAGGCTGCAAAGCGAGGAGAATTAACCGTGAATGAGGTCCGGTTTTAACGCTGAAACTATAGATTATTGCGATATAGAATATGGCAAACGATAGTCTGATGGATGCTGATATTGATGACGAAGCTGGTCTTCGAAATGCGGAGATTTCAGGAGTCAGTTTCTATATTTAAAAATTTTATAAAATATTGGTTACAGCCGTTGCTTATAAGCGCTTACTTACAGTTCTACTTTAGAATTACAATTCCACTCTCGAAATGCTAAATTTACATAGTGAGACACCCTATCGGCAAGGTCGCTATTGGTGGAAATTGGTGAAATGTTCGGTTTGTTGCATTGTTAGCATTATAAAAAAGTTTAGCAGTGTCCTCATCTGAAATTTACTCAGGCGAGGGAAGTTGTAACTCATATTCTAACCAAACATGGTGGACAAGATGTGCCGAAAATGTATAGGTTGGTTTTATTTTCAAAGAGTGCGATGTTTATAAGGTAGTTTGACTCCTGGAACTTTTGTTTTACGATTTGATTATAGGTTTTTAAAACCTAAAATCAAATCCTTTTTTTGGTTTTAAGATTGTGAGTAATTTTAGATGTCGTTTGTGCTCTCAAACCTCCTTCTACAGACACAACTTGTTAAAAGAACATCTAAAGACGCATTCGCTTCGATTGTCTAGATACGTGGCTAATTCTTATGTTGAAGAGAAATGGTAGCTAGTTCCATAATGGAATAAAAAAAGTAAAAAATTGGTCTAGGCATCCGACTACGTTAATGAAAGCGCTCGAGCTGGCTAAAGAAAGTTTTTCAAATGTTGCCCAATCGATTGAAAGGTAATTTTTGGCTGTTTCTAGAAAAGCTTTGATTTGTTTTGAGATACCTCATATGGCTTGTACGAAATGGAAAATTAGATCAAGATGCTATGAAAGATCTACGAAAAGAATAAACTGTTCATTGGTTGTTTTTGTTGAAATAAACTTTTTCATGGAGTATTTTCCCACAGTTAGTTGAAAGTAAAGCTCAATGCTGTCTGTCTAATTAAACGGTATTTTAAAATTTACTGCTGTAAGGATAGAATAGGTAGGTACATTTCAGATGTCAATCGTGATAGAATTGACTCTGGAGGAATCAGTGGATCCGCATGAAGTGCAAAGACTTTTGATCGATTTTCTGAAGGCTGGCGGATTCTTTATTTTCATCTACGTATATATTTTATATTTTAGGCATCACCACCTATATTCAAATCAATGAATATACGTTACTTGAGGCTTGGGAAAAATGATGGAACTGAAGAACACGTGAGATGAATTTGATTTTAAAAGAATTAACTTTTTTCATCTAGTTGGTCAATTTAACTGATGCATCAGAGGATTTTGGTTGTACAACTTGTTGCATGGATGACATGGAAGAGGTAACTCCTTGAAGATATTTTTGTTAAAAACGATTTTATTTTAGTCTACGATCATGAACTTTGACGGAAATTTGGTTCCACGTGATCCGAATGGAATTTTGTTCAATGATCGTGATACAGTAAGTAATGATGACCTTTTTTTATTTATTTGATTTAGAACCAGGAATTAAACAACACATTTTATATGGATTGCGAAAATCATTCAAACTCGATTGTGAAAGAAGAAACTTCCACTTTTGTGCTGTAAATTTCAATTTGTAATTCTTAAGTAATTTGTTTTCCAGGAAAAGAGAACCATCGATGGATGTATCTTCATTACAACAATTTTACACAAAAACAACTTCAAAACGAAAGTCTTCATTAAAAGTGAGCATGGTTTGAGTCAACGCAGAACATATGGCTTTGAGGAATTGGAGACATCCACCAAGGCAATTTCACAAAATGCCGTCAAGCCAAGAAACATCACAAGCACCATGCACAGTACTCAAAATGCAGAGGGCCCTGAAAAGTCAATGAATTTTGTAGAGGTTCTTTGTTTTTATGGCTTTTTTTAATGTGTAATTTTTAGGATCAAGTTAATAAAGCTTCTAACAGAGCAATTGATGATTCCGTCTTTGATCGACCCACTTTGGGAGAATTCAAGAACGACAATGAAAAAGTTGACGAAACAAAAGAAAAAGGGGCTGAAAAGGATTCACTACTGGTAGGACTTTTTGAGTTTCGATGTTTAGAAATTCACCTATCTAGGACGAAGTTAATAAAGATTTAAATGTGGATGAATTTGAAAGCGATCCACATGAAGCAAGCGAAACAAGCGAACGTACGAAAAGTAATTTGGTAGAAGCAATTTCTTTTTAAATTTACTAAAAACTTATTTAGAATGAAATTGCTCACATTTCAAACGGAGAACGGGTCAAATTCGAAAACAATGCTGATGATAAAATTTCAAACATTGATGATTCGTCATCCGATCGAAGTGCTTCAAATCCGTTCAAAGACGACTCTGTAGCAGAGGTAGATCACAAAGAACCAAAAGAAAAAGGAACTGAGGATGATTTGGTAAACTGTTTTTCATTTTATTTTACGCAAAACTTTAATCTAGGAAGACATTGACAATATTTCGAACGGAGCAATTGATGATTCCTCGTTTGATCGAAGCTCTCTATATGAACTTGAAAATGAACTCGAAGAACCGAAAGAAGAAGAAAAGGAGGATGAAGTAGAGCAACGTCTAACGGAAAATCCTCCCATGAGATTTACAAACCTAGCTCTTGTTGATATACTTGAAGCTGCAAAACGAGGAGATTTGACAATCAATGAGGTTTCTGATTTTTAAAGCTAATTCATCTTTCATTTAGAGTATGGCCGACGTTAGTTTTGTGAGTGTTGATCTCCATGACGAAGCACTTATTTCAAACAATGAAATTCCAGAGGTTTTTATTGGATGAGATTACAAAATCATCAAAATTCAGGATTATGAGTTTGCTTTTGAAGTACTCAAGATCGAAAATGATGGAATTATGTACAAGCGCAGGATATTGTGGAAGAACGTAAAGTGCAAGGTTATTTTTTAATTTTTAAAAAATTACGTATCTAAAGTTATAAAAATACAGCGACCTGATGATCTACCGTTTTAGCTCTGTGCCGATACAAGCTTTATGAAGCGAGAAGAAGCTATCACACATCTTCACACAAGACATTGTGGTTTGGGCACTCCAAAAATTTACAAGTAATAAGGCGCTTTTTTAACTACCTATTTAGTTCTGGTTTTTGGAGAGTCTTTACCGCAGTGTTTTGCGTGATGTAAAAAAAATTCAAAAGTATCACTTTAGTTGTGTTCAGTACAAAACTTTCGGAGCTTGGAATCAGGAATTACTCATTTACTAACAAAACACTGCGATAAATATGCTCCAAAAATCTTCAGGTGCAAATGATATACTTCAGCGATCTATTAACAGTGTTTTTCAGATGCAAACTGTGCTCGGCAACCTCGTTTTATAAACGCAATCTTGGAAAGCAACACGTTCAGAAGAAACACCGCCTACAGTATCGTAGAAATATCTCTGGCGCAACAATAGAAGAGAAATGGTATCATTTTGTGAATGTAGTTTTTATTGCCATCGCAGATAAATCTAATTGTCTGCTTAGGCACCCATTGACTTTGATGGAAACGTTGAAAGTCGCCAAGGAAGCTTTTCCACAAATCAGCAAAATCATTGAAAGGTGGTAAAAATTAAGATTGGTGGGAGAATCATCATTTTAGGTATCTTGTATGGGTGGTGAAGTCTGGAAAACTCGATATGGATGCTTTGAGACAATCACCCGACAATTGAATATTTGTTTCTGTGTTGTAGTTACTTACTACGTACATTCTTTACGTTGAATTTGTTATTTTTGAAATAAAATTTAGGAGTGTGACATTAGATGCTGTGATTGAACGAGTAACAAGAGCAAAGCGCCCCTTCCTGTTCAGAGATCGCAGTAAAAAGCTACCACAACTTTTATTTCTCACTACAACAAACTTTTGTTAATGGTTACGGATGATTCGACTATTTTCCGTTCTTTATTTCATATAGCCGTTAAACTCGTTAGCGCCTCGTAATCAACTTTGCCCGAGCGAACCAGCCATATGAGATACCTAATCAAAAAATAAACGACTTCTCTAATGCCCATAAACATTACCTTTCGATTGGTTGTGCCACACTTGGAAAAACTTCTTCAGCTAGTTGAAGCGTTCGTTTGAGTGTTAATGGATGCCTAAAGTTTCTATCTATTAATTCTTTTAGGAATGTCAAACCACTTCAATTGAAATTTACCATTTTTCTTCAACCGAAGATTGATCGTTTTTGCTTTGTCGAATGTTGTGCCTCTTCCGAAGGTGTTCTTTCAGCAGATTGAATTTATAATTCGAGGTCATCGAGCATAGAGTGCATCTAAATTTTAACATATTTAGCAAAGATAACCACTTTACCTGAAAATTTTTGGTACGTCATTGCCTACGTGTTTAGCCACGATATGAGCAATTACCTCTCTGGCCTGTTTGAACACCAAATGGGGGCATTGCTAGATTTTTTGACTTTTTATTTTAACTGTAAAACTAACCAGACATTTTGCTCGTTTCCACCAGTATATACCTTTTTTATAAGATTGCACATTTTTGAGTCGTGATGGTAACGTATCTTCGAGTTTCTGTTAAAAGTCGAAATTTGATGTGATTCATTTTTCTTACTTGTGTTTCGTTTCCATTTTCATTCGATTCCATCGGATTATTGTAATCCGCATCAAAATCGTACACTCCCGTTTCCATCTAGAATGGATAAACTCTTCGCTTAGATCCCTAATCGCTACCTCATCAATCGGCATATCTCCGCGTTTTACAGCTTCAAGCACATCATGCAGATTATCCATTTTTATCCCGAAGTACCCTGAAGAAGGAAGTGTCATTGCGGCTTTTGATGTGTTCTCATTTGTTCCATCGCTTTTGCTCTCATCGATTTCTTCAGATTCATTTTGCGATTCATATAAGGGGCTTCGATCAAATGAGGAATCATCAATTGCTCCATTTGAACTAGCATCAAGTTGGTCCTGAAAAACATCTGTTGAAAAAATGGCAAAACGCTTCTACCAAATTACTTTTCGTACGTTCGCTTGTTTCGCTTGCTTCATGTGGATCGCTTTCAAATTCATCCACATTTAAATCTTTATTAACTTCGTCCTAGATAGGTGAATTTCTAAACATCGAAACTCAAAAAGTCCTACCAGTAGTGAATCCTTTTCAGCCCCTTTTTCTTTTGTTTCGTCAACTTTTTCATTGTCGTTCTTGAATTCTCCCAAAGTGGGTCGATCAAAGACGGAATCATCAATTGCTCTGTTAGAAGCTTTATTAACTTGATCCTAAAAATTACACATTAAAAAAAGCCATAAAAACAAAGAACCTCTACAAAATTCATTGACTTTTCAGGGCCCTCTGCATTTTGAGTACTGTGCATGGTGCTTGTGATGTTTCTTGGCTTGACGGCATTTTGTGAAATTGCCTTGGTGGATGTCTCCAATTCCTCAAAGCCATATGTTCTGCGTTGACTCAAACCATGCTCACTTTTAATGAAGACTTTCGTTTTGAAGTTGTTTTTGTGTAAAATTGTTGTAATGAAGATACATCCATCGATGGTTCTCTTTTCCTGGAAAACAAATTACTTAAGAATTACAAATTGAAATTTACAGCACAAAAGTGGAAGTTTCTTCTTTCACAATCGAGTTTGAATGATTTTCGCAATCCATATAAAATGTGTTGTTTAATTCCTGGTTCTAAATCAAATAAATAAAAAAAGGTCATCATTACTTACTGTATCACGATCATTGAACAAAATTCCATTCGGATCACGTGGAACCAAATTTCCGTCAAAGTTCATGATCGTAGACTAAAATAAAATCGTTTTTAACAAAAATATCTTCAAGGAGTTACCTCTTCCATGTCATCCATGCAACAAGTTGTACAACCAAAATCCTCTGATGCATCAGTTAAATTGACCAACTAGATGAAAAAAGTTAATTCTTTTAAAATCAAATTCATCTCACGTGTTCTTCAGTTCCATCATTTTTCCCAAGCCTCAAGTAACGTATATTCATTGATTTGAATATAGGTGGTGATGCCTAAAATATAAAATATATACGTAGATGAAAATAAAGAATCCGCCAGCCTTCAGAAAATCGATCAAAAGTCTTTGCACTTCATGCGGATCCACTGATTCCTCCAGAGTCAATTCTATCAAAACTCCTCGTATCGACATCTGAAAAAAAGTAAAGTAATAAGCGTAGTAAATCAGAAGTTAAAAACTAGAAAAATCTAAAGTTTAACGAAAAAGTAAAAGAGAAAAAAAAGTCAGCCCGAATCAATTTTTGGCGTGTTTATTAAAAATATTCAGTCAAGGGTTAAATGGTTAAATGGGATCTATAGAAATTTTCTTCTCTCTTTCGCGCATTGATAAGTTTTTGTGCTAGTTCTTGATTTGCTCATACCTACGAAGCTTTTTTCATTTTTCAACATTTTTTTAGATGTCGGTCCTCATTGAGTTGACTCTGGTGAAATCGGTAAATCCAGATGAAGTGAAAGAACTTTTAATCGACTTTCTGAAGGTTTGGGCAGCTTTTATTCATTTTATTTTATTTTAATGTTTTAGACATCATCACACCTCTTCAAATCGTTCAATATACGCTTCTTAGATGTCGGTGGAAGCGACAGCTTTGAGGACAAAGTGAATTTGTTTTAAAATTGGCTAAACATTTTATTGAGTTGGTCAATTTAACTGATGCATCAGAGGATTTTGGTTGTACAACTTGTTGTCTGGAGGACATGGAAGAGGTATCTTTTACCTTTCATTTTGTTTCATGTCTTTTCCAAAAGATCTTTTGTTAATGATCGTTTTTAGCCTATAATGATGTACTTTGATACAAGTTTGTCTTCACCTAATCCGAATGGCATTCTCTTCCAAGATAGTTCTTATACTGTTAGTCGTTAATATATGATTATTTTCGATCTCCATTTAGAATCAAGAATCAAACAGCACATTTTATATGGATTGCGAGAATCATTCAAACGCGATTGTGAAAGAAGAAGCCTCGACTTTTGTGCTGTAAATTTGAAGTTGTAAATATGGCCTAACTTATTTCTTTAGGAAAAGAGAGCCATCGATGGATGTATCTTCATTGCAACAATTTTACACAAAGACAACGTCAAAGCGAAAATCGCTATTAAAGGTTAATTAAAATCTGTATGAGGTCATTTTAAATTGACAATATTCTGGCTATTTTTTATGCATCATTTGTCATTTAGGAGTTGCCATTTTTCACCGAACGACCTGAATTGATTCAACAAAACGACGTGGGCACTATTAAAGTGACAGAAAACTGTGCGATGGCCAATACGACAAACAGCGACATTCGTTGTGACGTTTCTACCAATTCAAAAGATGAGTTCACTCAACCGGCTGAACTGCTTGAAGAATCATATACAAATGTAAGAGTTTTCTAGTCTAGGTATAAAAGTCGAAGCAAAAGAAACAGGAAGACATATGGAAAAGAATTTGGTAAAACTATTTTTAAATTTACTAAAAACTTATTTAGAATGAAATTTCCAACATTTCAAACGGAGGACGGGTCGAGTCCGAAAACGATCCTGATGATAAAATTTCAAACATTGATGATTCGTCATCCGGTCGAAGTGCTTTAAATGAGTTCGAAAAGGTTTTGACGGCAAAAGTACAAGAGGAAGAAGGGACTGAGAAGGATTTGGTAGGCGTCTTTTTTACTGTTTTTCACTCAGAGAAAATTAGGAGGATATCGATAACATTTCAAACGGAGCAGTTGAAGATTCCTCATTTGATCGAAGTTCGCTATATGAGTCTCAAAATGAACTCGAGGTGGTGGAAAAAGAAGAACAAATGGCTGTGGGTGCATCACATCATATAGCGGAAGATTGCCACATAAGAGCTGTACACCCAGGGAACCTTGTTGATATACTAGAAGCCGCGAAACGTGGAGATCTAACTATTGAGGTAGTTTTTTCATTTTAGATACCTTACCTAATTTAATTTAGCGCAATGCTGATGAAACTTATATGAATCTTGATGGTTTTATTGTGGAAGATTGCTCTGGAAACTATGATGAGGTTTATATTCGGCTGAATTAAATAAATTAAATTAAATTCTAGAATTTGTTCCGCGTTTATGATCAACTAAATATGAATAATGTTAGCAAAGGAAAAAGAGAACGCGTCTTTTGGAAACAAGTAAAATGTCAGGTACAATTTCGGCACTTCGCACAAATTGCACTGACACAGTAATTTCAGTCTTGTTCATCGAAAAGGTTTGCGAGCTTTGAAGACGCGATTGTTCATGTACTTGCAATGCATTGTGACAAGACTTTGCCCCGTATTTACAGGTAAATCAATTTACGATTTTTAAAAGGTTTTGCGTTAGATGTTCTCTTTGTTCAACAACTTCATTTTATAAGCGCAATCTACGGAAAGTACACCTCAAAAGAAAACATAACATTCAGTATTGGAGACATCGTGCGAGGGCTGAAATAGTGGAGAAATGGTAACACCAGAATACTTTTAAGCTAATATTTTAATTTTTAGGCATCCATCTACTCTGTTAGAAGCTCTTGAAGCATCGAAGCGTGAATTTCCAAAAATTTGGCCGATAATTGAAAGGTAACTATTTTTACTTTATTTTGTATTCATTTCTTTTTAGGTTTCTTGTATGGGTGGTAAAATCAGGGAAGCTTGATACTGAAGTTTCTAAAACATCCTAACCACATCTTTATGTGATTTGTTGCTAATTTTTGTTTGTTTTTAATAAACTTTTTGCGGTAAGTAACACAAATAATTTGATAAGCAAGCCAGTGTCATAATCTGCCATATTCAGTATTTGACATAAACAAAGAGCATAATTAGAAATGCATGGTTGCTATTTGAAACCCGGGAAAAGAGAAACGATGAGAAAGAGATGTGAGTGAGTTCGTGAGGGTGGACATTTGGCGTACACAAAATGTTGCTTTCAAAAGAAATTCTGTTTTCCTGTTTTATCATTATTGTTGCAGTTCTCGCTTATGGATTCGCAAACTTTTTGTAAGTTTCGGTAGCTGGCATTACTATGGTAATTTTGTGAGAAGATCCAATGTAAAATCCCAGGTGCTTGGACTCTACAGTAACATTTATGCGTTAATTCGTTATCCTCACACAGCAAAACATTTCAAAATATAAACCTCGGAAAAATTCTAGAATGTTTCTGGGTATTAATCGGCGTGTCTATAATTTTCTGCCCGGTGAGTGCTCGGTGGCGGGCGCTTTTGAAGATGGGATCATGGATTTGGACTCGAGTTTCCAAGGAACCGTTATTATCACCACGGTAAAAAAAGACATTGATTAACAAAGTTAAATTGATAGTTTAATCTAAACCTGCTCATTTCAGTTTTCTAGGGAAACGGTCTTAACGATGAGGTCCAATCGGCACGAGCTGGCGGAATCTTTGGTCTATCGACCGTAAGTTGTCATAAGTCAAAAGATATACTAGAAAAACTTTAGCGCATTTTTTTTGAAAGTAATAAAGGCTCTAAAATAGATAAACTATTCTTATGTTAACTCTCCATATCAGGACAATCGAAGCTCATGGGAATTATCAAGATTGGGAGGCCCGATAAAAGTCAATGTTGGCCATTTCGCCCTCGCTCACACCCTTGGACCAAAAAACCATAATCTTCAAAGGTGATTAAAGAGAAGCAAGTCATTTTTTTTATATCATCCAATCACTTTGCAGATTATTTCTCATCAACAACCACAAAATTGGCTCATCGATTGAGCAATACGTTCTACGAGAGGAAATGAAAATGCTTGAACATGAGAAAACGATCAAAAGCAAATATTTCAAAAAGTAGTGAAATTGGAAACTATGATACTAAACTATGATACTTTTAGTATCCATGATTTGGCTGGTGTTGACGGGAATCGTTTTTATGTGACACGATACACGACATCCAATGATTTGATGGCACAACGATTTGAGAAGTATAAAGCGGCTTACATAGTTACAGTTTACCCTGACAATTAGGAAAAGTGTGTTCCTCTCTTAGAAATAAAAGCCTTTTATCGGAGAATATCCAATTTGAAGGTTTATCTTGAACTCAAATTTAGACTCTTTTCCATGGAATGGGGCCAAATTTTATTCTACGATGGACAAGAGACGAGAATTGTTGAATCGCGAATTTCTACTCCTGCCGGAGTTGTCTTTGATCCGCTGAGAAGGTTGGGAATTTTCAAAGAAACCCATTTCTCTTTAGATATCTCTTTGTTTCCTCGCACATGAGCGAAAAACTGATCGTCTACCAGGTGCTTGGGAACTACAATCTACAGAGAATCAAGGTAATGATGGTTCTATCCAATGTCCACCACTCAACTGAACTCTTGCCAGGAAATCCCACTGGATACAGCTCCTTATTCCTTATGGATGGACATCGATGGATCGTTGATCGCCACCGCACACCCAATCAAGTTCAAGTGAGCTTTCGATAACTGAATTTTATTTTCATTAGCTTTTTAGACAGTTTCAGCATTTTATTTCAGCTAAAAGACCGGTTTTCATTAAATTTTCGGTATCCAGTGCATAAGAAAGGGTGCAGTACGGATATGCGCCAGCTCTCGGGACTCCGAGATCCAGTGGAAGTGATTGAGAGAAAAAAGACTCAGATGGGCCGGCCACTTAGCCGGAAGAACAGACGACAGATGAACGATACGGATTACAGAGTGGCTACCACGAGACCAGAAGAGGCCCATCGGAAGACCAGCAACGAGGTGGAGCACAAGAGTGGCAGAGACGGTCAGAGAAAGGATGGCTAGAGTGCAACCACCACCAGCACCAGCAAGTCGAAGACTTCGAACCAGGAACAATCAAGCTAGGAAACACTGGATGACAATAGCAAGGGATAGAGAAATGTGGAAGCAGGTTGTGATCTGTGCAAGTAGGAACAGCTGAGTGCGAAAACAAATAAAAAAAAGAAAGGGTGCGTTTACGTGTGAGCACAAAGGACATTGTAGAGACTTTGTTCATTGGCAAGGCTCTCGGCTTGTAGTCTGGAGATCCGGCTTCGATCACCGATTAGAACTGTTTTCAGTCAACACATTCGTAATGACGATATTTTTGCGTACCATAGCATAGTCGTTACTGTTTTGCTGATAATTTGATGAACATTCAAAAATAAACTAAACTATTCTAGTCATTCGATAGCCCTGAATCTCCTTGAGTTATCGAGAACTTTCTGCGAAATAAATAACAAAAGTCTTGAACAAATTGAGTTGACATTAGAAATAATCGTCATTACTCATTAGTAATACATTAGTATTGTCGTGAATTTTTTCAAATAATCATGCTGACTTTCCAGGCACTTCTATTACGAGACAAACCCCAGTGCAAACCACTCGCCAACTCAAGTCATCCGAATCCTTGCCAAGCCGCGTTCAAATCGAACAACGTACGTTGAAAAATATCAATTTAAAAAGTTTATTTATTTACCTTTTCAGGAGAATTGATTATCTTTATGCGAACGACGGAGCTTCGTTGAGTGGAGCAACAATTGCAATGAGGTAATTGAACATTTGCTTGGGTTTGATTTGCTTTGAAAAAAAACATTTAGAACTGCAAATCAACTCCTTCTTGCCAGCCCATTTCAAACGCTGATCTCATGCGAGCTTCCAATGCAAATGAATCAAAAAGGAAAGAGATGAAAAAATGCTTGATAAACCTTGTTTTATACACGAGTGCATTGAACTTTTGAATGTGAAAACATAGTTGAAACGTTCAATAGAATTTACAGTAATTTGATCAAAAATTCAAGCTCAAAGAGTTTATTGTATCAAGCATAAAAGAAAAGACTCTAGAAACAAGGTAGAGTTAACGATGAGAGATCACCTCCTGGACACTTCTCATTCTCTCTCTTCTCATATCCCTTGTTTCAACTAATCAGGAAATTCTTTGAAGTTACATTTCAGGAGCAATCTGACCAACACCTCCTGATTAAAGCCAGCCTGAAACTGTTTTCAAATCCTATTTATCATAAGCCATTTTCGAGATATAAGCCTTCAAACTTTCGACCAATTTCACCAGACTAGCCTACTTAAAGCCTTGGTGCCGGCTCCTCACCCTGGCTCTGTAGCCTAGTCGGTAGTGGGCTAACGTCTTGCCCCTCTCCGCGCACTTTTGCCTCTGGTTCGAATCCTCTCACTGCTAGAATTTTTCGCCTTTTTTATAAAGGAATAAAAATCGATTTTTAAGTGCTCTAAAGTCTTTACAAACATTAATTAGCACTACATATACCATCGCAGCCAAATCTTCTACGTCATGTTGCAAAACTTATCCTTTCCATAATAGCAAAATGTCGTTTATGTGGGCGAAAGTTCATTGTGTGTCCCCCTTATCCCCTTTCCCTCATCAATTCCACCTGTTCTCCTCAAATAGCTCACAAATTTCTGAGGTTAAAACTTTCAAAATAACAACTCTTATTACTTCTAGAAGCTTTTGATTGTTTTTGGGGAATTCTGTTAGTGAATATGTAAAGATCATCAAAATTTATTTCCTTTTTCATTAAAATGGCAGACTCTTTCCCCCAGGGACGCTTTGTTTTCCAAAAAATGCAACAATTGGATTTTCATTTCAACCGATTTCTTTTTAATTATTTGATTTGCAAAAATATATTCTATAAACATATCTATCTTTAAAAACTAATCAGAAGTTGAGCTGAGCTAGCTGTAGCTGAGCCACTTTCAACGTTGCCTTTCAAAGTCAATTGCTGAGCTGCGCCATTGAAGCAGAGTAGCCATTGAATGAACTTGTCGGTTTTCATTTCTTTCGAAATGCCATTCAACTCGTTTTGAGCTGAAAAACGATCTGTTTTTCAGATTTAAAAACTTACCAAAAAAATAATGAGCTTCAATGATTTTCATTCTTGAAAATGAATAAAATTCGGGAAAAATGTCTTGGCAATAGTTGGTTACCATCTTTTTCCATGGAAACCCATTGAAAAATCTTTCAATTTTTTTTCCAAAGCACACTCACCCATTACCCATTCATTTGTGAATGGGTGTGTATAGAGAAAATATCATTTACTGCTTCGATGAGTTATTATAATGGATTAATGAGTTTCAGCCTTGTGATTTTATCGCGTTTCATTCAAACTTATCAAGGTGTGAGAATGCAATCCGATGGGATTTGGGTAGTATAAAGGGCTTTTTTTATATAAAATACTTTTCCGGAAACTGTTTTCTATGTTTGTTGTCTTTCGGGTTGTTTCTGGAGTTTCTCCGGGTTAAGCTAGGCCAAGAACAGCGCTTGTCTTGGGCCTGGTTTGAATTGACTTGACATTGGTTTGAAAAAATCAAAAACCAGGGCGGGACCGCACAACGAGTACGTAGTTTGAAAAAAACCATTTGTCTTCAAATCAAAAATCTAAGCACTAACAATTCTTAAATGATGTCCAACTAAGAGAAAAAATGCAAAAAGAATCGATTTCGACTTGTCAATTTTTTGTTGATACGTCGAGAGATTTTGTCTTTTGACCTAATTTGATTCTTAATTCTCCTAAGATTTCCCAGTTGCAATTATTCAAATTCCTGTCACCGAGAGACCTTTCCACCATCCACTAAACCGCCAGTGCAGATATTCGACTGATCGAAAAGCGCGCTTTAAAGCAAATTTAAAGCCTATCGTCAAATTTCAATTCAATTTTACGTGGTTTTTGACTTGGATCTGGTGAACCCTTGTAGGTTTAGGTAAATAGAGAAAAGATTACGGTAAGTTTCAAAAGTTGACGCATTTTAGCAAGCACTTAAGAAAGCTGGAATTTAGCTATGTTGCAAGAGTGAGTAAGCCAAGATTTCAATTTAATTTTCATTTTTTAATTTTAAAACCTTCGACCCTAGACAACGATTTCAAGCAAAAATCATTAAGTAAAAAAAGAATTAAAATCTTTTTTGATAATTGTCTGTATTTTGATTCGAACAATAATGCAAATTCTTAATCGAATCTCAAAGGGAAATCATTATTTCATTCTACTAACAATCAAAATAATTCTCCCCAAAGTCTACTTCCTTTCTTGATCTGATAATTAAAAGCTCTTTTTCTCTTCCTTGGGGACTTCTTTCGATTATTAACCTTTTTCGTCCGCCCCTTTTCTTTTGTAACGTAAAATTATAACCTCTCTGATTTCAAAAGAAAAAGAGGGGACTTTTTTTTTTCTTTCCTTCTACGCTAGACATTTGCTTATTGATAAAATGATTTCATTGATTTGAATGATTTCAAAATGCGCGTTGAAATGACTTGAAAAGCTTTTACTATTTGATCTGTGGCGTTAAGCTGTGACTTGCATAGAATGATTCCTTTCACCATATTTGCATAAAATCATAATTTGGTCTTTATGTGCTTGGTCCTTAGGCTTGCTTTGGTCCTTAGGCCAGCTTTAGCTTTGTAGTTTGCCCATAAAAATAACTGAGCCAAGTGATCCTGGATTAAGTGATCCTCTCTCTGGTCTAGTCTGGTTGTTTGACTGATTTGAAATATCTAATTTGGCTTACAGGTTTTAGTGTTGGTCTGGTTGTTTGACTGATTTAAAATATCTAATATGGCTTACAGGCTTTAGTGTTTGATTCATATGTATTAAACTTTATCTCTTTACTTATGACGTCATTGTGACGTTTCGTGAGAAAATTTTTAAACCTTTCTTGTGTCAAATTATTAGATCGACTTTCTGCAACTACAATTTAGACGCAATAGGAAACACGCAAAGGTACAAATTGCAAAGTTGCAATCGTAGTAGATCGGTTTTTAGAAGTCTGATGAGATTTTTCGAATAAACCCATCTATTTCACCTGGTTTAAACATCATTTTTATACTTTAAGTCGATTTTTTTTTCTTGATCTGTTCGCTGAATAGTTTAACCATTTTTATAAAAGTTGTCAATCGTCTTTTTAACATTTTTATATCTTCTCACCTTTCCTTAATAACACCTGCACAAAGACGTCATCCAAAAGCAAAAATTCCCAATTTATTTCTGTACCAAACTAGCGGTGAAGCCAATTAATCGATTCATTTCATGTTTCTAGATTTTTCTTATACTTTTCAATTACTGTTTTCCTTTTCTAAATTACCTATTCGTGTTTATTTTGCGAAATTTCCAGGCTCAACCATGTCGAAGCCACCTTCTCGTCGAGGGGTGACCGAGTTCGGCCCTCCACCTCCACCATCCCATCCACTCCATCAATCTCAACCTCAGCCATCCACGAGCTACATCCCATCCACATCATTGCCTTCAACTTCTCAGAAACAACCCAATCAATCACTTTCCCCACCGTCAAATAGTGAGTTTCTTTCCTTTAAACCCACTCATTTCTTCTTCAATACTTCAATAATTATCCCCTGCAAAACGACTTTTGAAAAGGAGGAAGATTTGAGAAAAACTAAAGGCCAATTTTATTGGTTATTTGGGATGATATCAACTAGAGTTTTGAATCAAAAATACAGTTGACTTTCTATAACGGAATAGAAGGGACAAAAAAAAATTCTTCCGTTATATAGAGTGCCGTTTTATGTAGCTTAGCGTCGACCGGGACCAAAATGCCATTCCTTTACATAGATTTTTCCGCTATATTGGGTTCCGTTATAGGGAGAGCCGACTGTAAGAGAAAGTATTCGAAGATTTTTTTAGTTAATCAAAACTCAAAACTTGAATGCTCAAATTTTCCCGAGTTCCAGAGTTAAAGTTTTGCAACAAAACAAGTCTTAAAGGTATCTTAAAAGTACCTATGATGTGGCAACGATGTGGTCTTAAAAGCAGCTTAAAATATACCTTAAATCATATAATATATAGTAAATTTTAGGAAGAATGGAGCACGGAAGCAGCTCTCGAGTCGATTTCTCGTTTCTCTTTTGTGGGCGGCGACCGATCTTTTCGGTAAGTGCGCTTTAAAAGCTTTAAAAGCATTCTAAGCATTTGAATAGTTTATTTTTGCATTTCTGCATTTCGTCAGTTCTTTAGGCTTCATAATAACAATAATGAGTTGAACTAGAGTGTGTTCCTCGTGATTAAATAATTACTTCAATAAATTTGCATAAACAAAGGCCAATTTAATCGATTAAAGATCAATTCATCAATTCATCAATTCATCAGTCATCAATCAAGTCAATTCATCATTCATTTGTCTCAATTAATGCGTTAATTCAACAAATTTGTGCATATGGCTACAAGCCACTGTAACTTTCTTTAGGATTGATATTTCTGGGTGTGCTTTAGTCCGTTCGAAAGCTCTTGAAATTCTCTATGTTTTCAGCTATAGACCATGTGAATCCGGTAGATTTAAAGCAAGTTAGAAGCGTTTGTAGTTCGCGTTTTTGTAGTGCCGATATCTCCTGCAAATGATGAATGTAAAGTTTAAATTTGCATAAACAAATTTACAGCTACGGCAGCCTTTTTGTAGGCACATTTTAGAAAGCGCATTAATCACGAAGAATACACGAAAGCTGAACTGTTAAATGGAAAGTTTCACAGGTTCAGGTACAGGCAAATCTCAATCAAAGCATCACGATACCATCTGGACCGGGAGATATTGGTAAAGAAATCATTTCGGAAGCTAGTCAAAACAGCGCCGGCCAAAATAATACGCTTGCGGTTAAATTTTTTTTGTGTGTTTCTTATTTTCATTGGATTTAGGCAAAAACAATGAACTACAGTACTGGACAATGAAATATCATTGAGAAAAGATATTTGAAAAAAGATCGTCACTTTCCCGCGTCTGTAACTCCCTTGTCTTTGTGTTTAAACTATTAGTGTTAGACATTTTCTGAAAGCTCTTTTCAAGGACTACACAATGGTAAGATTAATATTTAGAAATACGGTAAAGACAAGGGAGTTACAGACGCGCGAAAGTGATGATCTTTTTTCAAATATGATATTTCATTGTCCAGTAGTGTAGATTCAAAATAAAGCTATTGGTCATTAAGTTAACCAGTTAAGTTAAGGTTGTTAAGTTAACCAGTTAAGTTAAGTAGTGTTTCAGTAGTGTATCTGCTGAATTTTTTTAGAACAGAGCCACTTTTTAGAGCCGTTTAGAATAAATCTAGGATAAGAAAATGCCAAAAAACGAAAAAAAACGAAAAAAGGCTTAAACATAGGTTAACTGAGCTTTTCTCGACACCATTTCTGTTGAAGAGTGATTCCAAAGTATGCAAAATGTAGATAATTTTATTTTGCATCCAATTAGAATAAGAAACACATAAAAACTTAATCGTGGAGAGGCTATTTGGACACGGCACTGTTTTGATCAGCTTTCATGACATCAGCTTCAGCTTTTGATCAGCTTCAGCTTTTGATCAGCTTCAGCTTTTGATCAGCTTCAGCTTTTGATCAGCTTCAGCTTTTGATCAGCTTCAGCTTTTGATCAGCTTCAGCTTTTGATCAGCTTCAGCTTTTGATCAGCTTCAGCTTTTGATCAGCTTCAGCTTTTGATCAGCTTCAGCTTTTGATCAGCTTTCATGACTTTAGAAAAGAAAAAAACAAGAAACTTATATTATAGACTATTCAAATTTGCGAGAACTTGCAAGAAGAAATGCGGATATTGAGAAACAATTGGAAAAGGACAAGTTGGGAAATAGTTTTATAGCTAAAAAATAGTTTTTTAGAGTAGCGGCAAAGCAAACGCTGAAGATTCTATTGCTTGGCGGACCAGAAAGCGGAAAAAGCACGATATTCAAGCAAATGAAGTGAGAATTGAAAAAAAAAGAAAGAAATATTTAAACTTTTTAGAATTTTACATTTAAATGGCTTCTCTGAGCTTGATTACGTGAATTTTCGATATCTTGTGTATAGCAATGTTGTTGAGGTGAGTGCAAAAGGCTTTTAAAAGTTTCAACAAGTTTCAACAAGTTTCAACTTTGTCAAAAGCTATCGTAATCTTGGCTATAGTTTTATCCAGGGCTATCTACTAGTCTAGAAATATAGTATCCAATAATTTTTACAGTAATTTAGTCGGTGAATCAACTTCTCGAGGGCGCTAGCGAGCTGCGGATTGAACCAGATGAAATCGCAAAGGTACGAGAGTTCGTTTCTTGAAAAATCTTGGATTCAGATCATTATTTTAAGGTAAGCTGATACTAAGACTAGAAAAACTAATACTAAAGATCGAATTTCTTTATTTAGGATGACATTCGGCGATTCCAAGATCACTACCGAACTGTGGCTCCATCAGACATCGAGTTAACATTGGAAATATCACTCGTCATTCACAGGTTCGTTTAGAAGTTAAAGATTTGGTTCTTTTCTTCTTTTTTCTTCTTTTTTTTCTTTTCTTTTAAAGTAAATCGTTGATTTTCAGTAAATCGTTGAAATTCAGGATCTACCGTAGTCAATTCATCCGTGAAGTTGTCTCGAAACGTCACGAGATCAGTCTTCTCGATTCGGCTACATAGTAACCATTTACATTTGTATTTTTGGCTACAATTTGCTACAATTTTGCTACAATTTTGCAAAAGCAATGTTTTATACACTTGCGAAACGGAGATTTTTCAGTTTTCTTGATGAAATCATTCGAATTGGAGCTCCTGATTACACACCAACTCAAATGGATGTCATACGGTATTGAAGAAGAGAGAGATTTGGAGAGATTTGAAACCGAGATTTGTTTTAGATCTCGAATCCCGACCACTGGAATCAATGAGATTGAGTTTCCATATAGAGATGTGGTCTTGAGGTGAGTAAAGCTGGGATGTTTATTTTGATTAACTCTCGCCGGGCTCCACAATATGCACAAGTTGTAAATATACAGGGTGCGTCATAATTATTGCAACAAGAGTTCAAAGACCGTTTTCCAAACAGCTTTCTTATTTTTTTTTGCCCATTTTTTTGTTGTGTTGCGTTCTATCTTCTTTATTCTTGCCTAATTGCCTCCACGAAGAAGACGGTTCAGGACTGGTGTGTGGCCAACTTTCCCTCAGTGATCACCAAGGATGAATGGCCTCCAAACTCACCGGATCTCAATGTGATGGGCTTTTCCATTTGGGCAATCTTAGAGGCTAATGTCTGCTCATTGACCTTGAAGAAGTCTTTGACCAAAAAATGGAAGGCGACTCCTCAAGATGACATTCGGGCCGCAGTGGAGGCATATCCGAACCGATTAAGGGCTGTTATCAAGGCAAAAGGCGGTCATATCGAATGATCTCTTGTTTCCTTATTTGTTACTGTTAAATAAAGCTATTTCTGTTTAAAAATCTTCTTCCAGTGAAACTTCTTGGTGTGCAATGCCTTGAGTATCTTGTTGCAATAATTATGTAGAATGCCGTGTAGAATGTAGAATGCCTGTAGAATGCCCTGTAGAATGCCGAAGAAGTCACGATCTTTAAAATGAGCACAGATTTTGCTTGGATATTAGGCTGCCCAGAAAGTCTTTTCGTTCTTTTTCATACATCTGTTGAAAAATAACCTTTCTGATGAAACAAATCGTCGTTCAATTGGTTGTTTTTTTGGTTTTGAAAGGAAGTTCGAAAAGGAATGAAAGACATTAACCAAAAATGAAAACAGCCAATTGAAATCTACAAGGAGACTCTATATAAAGAGATTAAAGAGTTTCACACAAAAGTCTCCATTCTCAAGGAGAGGTTCTTTCGTTTTAGAAATTCCAGTCACCTCCAATAAGTTTGTTTATAACTCTTTTCCAATAAGAACTGCCAGAATTTTGAATCGACTCCCCAGAGTTTTGAGAGAGTCCAATAGTCTCGAAACCTTTAAATTATCTGTAGATGATCTTGATCTTGAAGCTCTAGTGGATCCTTGACGTTATCTGTGCTACCCACATTTTACATATATTATATCGTGTTTCTTTTTATCGGCCCTTTTCGTGTTATGTGTATGAATTCATGTGTTTTAATCTTAAATCTAGCGCACTTTATCTCAGGTCCTGAATATATATATCCTGAATAAAGTATCTATATATTCTTTTTAGAATGGTTGACGTTGGCGGGCAACGATCCGAGCAACGCAAATGGATTCACTGTTTCGACAACGTGAGCGGTGTACTTTTCGTAGCCGAAATCTCCGGTTACAATCAAAAGCTAAACGATGGGGAAATCGTTGTCGTAAGCAAAAAAAAAAAAAACGAATTTCATCTTAAATAGAATCGTTCGTTTAGAATCGCCTCAAATACAGTATGCATTTGTTTAAACGAGTCGTCAACAATCGAATTTTCGGGAAGAAAACGGCGATGATCTTGTTCTTGAATAAGATCGATATTTTTCGGGATCGCCTTGTGCATACACCGATCAATGTTTGCTTTAAAGACTATAAAGGTGAGTTGTTGAAAGTTAGGTTAAAGTTTCGAGATTAGGAAATTAGGTAGTTAAGTAGGTTTCTGGAGTTGTAGACAGGGCAAAGTAGGTTTCTGGAGTTGTAGACAAGGCAAAGAAGTCAAAAAGTAGGTTCTGATCCGGAAAAATTGATTTGGCTTTGTAAAAGTGCTGGCTTGATAACTTGAGACTTAAACATTGCTTTTCTGCTTTGCCTTGCTTTTCTAAAATCCTTATTTCCAGGTCCACAAGCTTTCGAAGCCTCATCAATCTATATCTCAGATCGTTTTCAACGTCTTGTCTCCGGTGAGATCGCTCATGAGCGCCCGGTCTACACCCATTTCACGAATGCCACCGACACTCGGAATATCGATCGAGTTTTTGAGTCTTGTATCGATGTTGTTTTCAAACTCAGTATGGAGAAAGTCGGATTCATGTAGCGTTCTTGGTTCTCATGCTGTTCGCCGCTTTTTATACTCTTATCCATTCATATCTTGCTCAACGTATACTTGAATATCCATTATCTTTTTATCGGCTCAATTTCTCAAACTTCTCAAATTTCTCAAACAAGAATTTCTATTCAATAATTGAAGAATTGCCAATTTTCTAAAGATTCCCTCACTCCCACATGGTTGCTCAATCGAAATTCGCTTATTTTCTTGTTTCCGAATAAGAAATCGGGTCAACTACAGTAGAGTTTACTTCTACAGTACATGAGTACTGTTCAAGTACATGAGTACATCAGTACCGTTCAAGTACATGAGTACTGTTCAAGTATATGAGTACATGAGCACATGAGTTCAAGTAATGCGTTTTCTAAACCGAGCTAAAAACTACCGTAACCTTGGCTCTATTTTTTCAATCTATCGACTTTTTGTCTGAGTCTATGAGGGTTTAAAAAGGTACAAAAACCTATAAAAAGTATATAAGTTAAAAAACTAGGGTCAATTTTACGGTAGATGTTTTAGAAAACGCAACTTGAAACAATTATTGAGTTGATTTTTTCTTTGGTACTTTCTACTTTGCCTACTTCCACCCCATCTCAACAAATAAAAAGTTGATCTAATTTTTCTGTTATTTCCAAATTTTTCTTTCATTTTATCTTCACAAATCTCAGTCTAATTACCCGGTAATCAAAGCAATCAAAGCAATGAAAGTACTTCTTTTCTGACCGCTAGACTTTATGATTAATTATGGTGTTTTCCCCAGAAATTCACTTGCCTTTTCCCCAATCTTTCGGTCAACTATTGTAAAGTTTTTGATTAAAAATTTATTGGCCAAATATAAATGAATAAACTGGATGTTTTATAAAGGGAATTATTTTAGAATTATTGGGTTGGTGAATTGAAAACTGCCGGCTATTGTCATACGTCACAGTTTGCGCACTTTCTTCAAAAGAAACCCATTTTGGTGTCAATGGAAAAGTTGTAGAGAATCAAAAATCAAGCTTATATCCAAATTTTCAGAACGATGCAAAAGCTGGTTTTCAAGAAATGCTAAATTTACGAATTTTCACAAAACTTGCATTTTAAGCGAAACTACTAAGTGCATCTTTTTAGAAATTTGGATATAAGCTTGATTTTTGATTCTCTACAACTTTTCCATTGACACCAAAATGGGTTTCTTTTGAAGAAAGTGCTCAAACTGTCACATATGACAATAGCCGGCAGTTTTCAATTCACCAACCCAATAGTTCTAGAGAAATTCTAGAAAATGGATGGCAGATTGATCATCATCTTGATTTTAGATGCTGAAACAATAGATCAACTCAATGATCTTGAACAAATCATTATCAATCAAAACATGACAATGGCTATTGTCAGCCGGCAGTTTTCAATTCACCAACCCAATAGATTCAAAAGCTTAAAAATTATTTGGGAGAACACATTCAAAACGGTAAAAAAAAACGTTCAGATAAAACGATAACGACAGTGAATTTTAGAACAAATAGAAATTCAATCGGAAATAAAGTTACATTTGTGATTTCACATTCATTATCTTTAAGTTTTGACGAATCTCTGTTTGGGAAAGGGTTTTTGTGCAAAATGTCGATTATTTCCTTGTTGCTTACTCCCCTTGTTCCCAGCATTTCCGAATTCTCTTCCATCCCTTGATCGAGCTCTCTTTCTCATTTCATCATCAGACCAACGAGGCCAATCGATTAAGCGACGATTGCTAAACAAGAGATGAATCGAAATCGTCGTTGAGATCACTTTTTGCGGGGACTTCTCGGTTTTGGATCGGCTCTCTTCACGCCTTCACCATTCGCAAAATTTTGAGCGATGTAGTCTAAGTTCAATTATAATTTTTCTTCTAGGCAAAACTGTACTACCGGCAATTTCTTGTGGTGGTGGGGCAGGTGGTTGAGGGGCAGATGTGAACGAGTCACCGAAGTACGGCTAGAGTATCTTTGTGCACGTGAAAGTTGTAGACAGAAACGAATTTAAGTAAGAATGGAAAACGAACGACTGAAACGGATTGCAGAGGTAAATTTTCCTCGGCTTTTCGCGGAATCCCAGTGTACGAGGCCTCGGAATCACCAAGAATATCGGGAAGAACGCCGAGATTCTCTTGTGATGAACCACCGACAACTTGTTCATATTGAAGACCGAAAGGGATCTGAATTTTAAATTGTCTAGAGAACTAAAGCTCTATATCTCTCTATATCTATAATCTCTAAGGTTTACTAGAGTTTCTAGAGCACAATCCCTTTCACAATCACTTTCTAGAGCACAATCACTTTCTAGAGCACAATCACTTTCTAGGGCCCAATCACTTTCACAATCACTTTCTAGAGCCCAATCACTTTCACAATCACTTTCTAGAGCACAATCACAAGATCGTCATAAGATCCAAATTAAAGCCATGATTTAACGTTAAATATTTCCCAATAAACGTCTAAACTGGTCCCAAACTTGTCTCAACCAATTGTAAAAACGAAAAATTGCTCTTTTTCTACCGGATATGGCTGTTGAGGTGGTTGAGAATATTGCTGAGATTTCGGTGGACATGGACAATAAAGCCCGTCTTTTCCCGGTCTCCCCGAAGCTCCTCCACTTCCCGAGGCACCATCGATACCCTGAGGACCCTGGAAATTATATTAAGAAGATAATTATTGCTTTCAATAGCTCACTTTAGGTCCAGGTTGTCCGCAAAGACCCGGCACTCCTGGAGCTCCGTAGTCACCGGGTTGTCCTCCCAGCCCTCGAGGCCCAACCACTATAAGAGAAAAATAACATAGATAAAGTAATAATTAACTTTTATTAGCGAAATACATTGTAAATGCATGTCTACCTCCAATTGGTCCAGATATTCCCTTTCTCCCGGGACTTCCCTTGCATCCTTTCACTCCATTGGCACCGGATGGACCTTTTGGACCCGAGAATCCATTGATTCCCCTTGGACCGATATCTCCCTGAAATATTATAAAAGATTATCAATAAATAACTTATTATTAACGTCAAGTTCTCGGCCTACCTGATGGCCACACTTTCCGGATTTCCCAGGTCTACCGGGCTCACCAAAAGCCCCACGAATTCCTTTGTGACCGACAATGCCTCGAGAACCTGTAAGTATTGACATATATATATATAGATATAAAATCTTATCCAAAAAATAGATCTGACCTTTAGGCCCACAAGGCCCAGGAGGACCAATTGGGCAAGGTTCATCACAGATTTTGAGCTGAGGTTGAGCATATTGATTCGATGAAACATATTGATCGGATGGATAAGAGTTATAAGTAGCTGACTTCAGACTGCTTAGTCTCAATTGAATCAATACAATTTAACGTTAAAGATTTACCTAGTCTCAGGGTAGATATTGGTGGCGGGAGTTCCCGGATAGCCGGGGACTCCGGCGCTGCCTGGTTCTCCGGATTCTCTGAAAGACAAGAGGGAACTGCTGTTTAGCTGTTTAGCTAAAACTATTATTTTGCTTATTTTATACCCCTGAGGTCCGGGTGGTCCTTTGTATCCGAGTGGACATTTGTACGAAATGGGAAGATTCTCATTGATTCCCGGTTTCGCATACGAGTCCGCACAACAACCTGATACTCTTATGGAAAATCTATCTAGCTAGAAAATCTATCTAGCTTACATTTCAACTTTGTATATCCATATCCGTATTTTGGTTGATAGCTGTTTTGCGAGGTTGTGTAAGGAATCGCGTACTCTGTGACAACTTCTGAAAGAATTAATTGAGTTGCTTGAATGACTGAATAGCTTTACTTTTAAAGAGAGATCATTTCAACTAAGTGAGTGAGTCATTTTTACCGTATTCAGCTGGCAACAGTTGTCGTTTTCCTCTTGAACCCATTGCCATCAGCTCACTCCACATCTCGTTCGCGTCTCTCTAAAAGCTTTTCTAAAAAGACCATTCAGTTACACTCACATTAACATCCAGAAAAACATTATCCAATTCTAATTCCATTTCATTCAACACCGACGAGATGATCAAAGTCATTGAGATCAAAAAGAGTAGAGAACTCAAAGAGAGAACAATTGCCAGCTTTGCCAGCCTGTTCGGTATCTTCTCGTTCGTCTCTAGTTTACCACACTTCATCTAAACGTTTACAAAATTGATTAGATCATAATCTTCTATCTTCTAAGACTCTCAAGAATCTCTAAGACTGGCAAAGATATAAAAAGACATAAAAAGGTAGAATTGAACCAGAAAAAGTACATTCTATCGTAAAACAGCTAACTCGAGTAGAATTGTGGCCGACTCGTTCCCAATCTCTCACTTAATATATCGTCAAACTGTTGGCAGTAGAAACCAGTCTCGTATTCTATTTTCCCATCCTTCTGCCATTCCTTTCTTTCATTGCATATTCCCTTTCGCTCCAGGGGGTAAATTTGGTGCAGAGAAATGATGAGCTCTGACACTTTTCCCTCCACTGCCCACTTTCACTTTATGAGAATAAGAACAAATAATAATAAGCAACAAATATTCTTCGAAATTGGAACCCGGACCTTTTACGTAAAAGACATTTCGTCTAAAACTATCATGCACATTTTTTTTATCCTTTTTGAGTTGTTCGCAATGTTCACGAATCATAGTGCAATGTGAACTTGATAAGAATAAAGATTTTCCAAAAGTGTTGACTTGTTTGGATGGTCAGAAATGTGCTCTTGAAGTAAATCATTGAATATTCGTTCGTTCTTTCAAAGACACCCAAACTTTGCAGAGGAAAAGTTGGCGCTTTCCAATAGTCTTTTCTGATTTCTGAGTCATTCTGACACATTTCTGACCATCAGTCTCGTCTTTTCTTCAATATAATGATGTTAAAATCATTGAATCACAGGATTGAACCAGTCAACTCCAACTTGGATGCAGATTTTCTTGTATTTTCTCTAATATAATGACTTTCAAATCATTGATTCACAGGCTTGGATCGTTTGTCTAACCAGTCCGCGAAGCAACTCCAACTTGGATGCAGATTCTGAAACGGAATGAAGGCAATAGCTTTTAAAATCTGAAATTGCCATCGTAAAACTCCAACAATAAATTTATCAATTCGATTGAAATGCAATTTAGATTGTAGAAAGAATAGTTGTGGAAAGAATAATATAAAAAATGCGGCACTAATTTGCTTAACAAGCTTTTAAAATTTACATTTAATAGTTTTAGCCAAAAACGTCTGTCTTTTTCTTGAATGCACTTTGTAATGAAACTTTTTATATTCTACTCGTAATCAAAATTTCTCTATAATTCATCGTGAGCTTCATTGTGCAATGGTGGTTTGGGTAAAGTGCCCGGCTCGTGGTAGTCACTGAAAAGGTTAGTTTTTCAAAAAAACAAAAGAGATCAATGTCTTTTGTTGATCATTGATTTGAATTTCGGCTTAAATGTTAGCATTTTTAAAATGCCATACTTGTGCTTGAACTCGTCATGTGAATCCTCGAAAATCTCCCCTAAAATCACATTTCGAATCACCTCGACGGAAAGGGTTGATTCTGAAAGTTGAAGAAATATTTACAAGCTTATATTAGGTTGTTCGGATATAAACGAGCGTTTGCACTGCTCGTGAGGAACGTTAACTCGTGAGGAAGCCATTTCCCGCATCAGATCGTCTTTCCAATGGCATGGAGATGCTCATCAATGGTAGAATTTGAAAATAGAAGCTATTGAGCAAGTTCACGCGTCGTTTGACATGGATCTGATTCGATCTGATTCGATCATTTCGACCTAAGCCCTCAAAGTATCGTTGTCTACCACTTGAGGTCGACGAGAGTGTTCATCATCCTCGAGACTTTCATCACCGTTCCAAAAGCATTGGAATCAAGCTCGGCATCGGCTTTCGGACAATACATCATTCCTAAATGCTTTGACCAAATCTCAATGGAATTCCGCGGCTGTTTTGCCCAGTTTGAAGTCGTAAAGTATCCAGGTTCAATATCCAGATCAGAAAAAATTCTCAAGCATCTCGGGTATTCTCAAGCAACTCGCAAAAACTACAGTAATCTTGTCTCTCGTTCTCTTTTAGCCTTTAGTATGATTACCAATAGACCAATCGCAAACTTGATATATTTGAAGTCATTCATCTAAAGCAAGAAAAAAGATCTGTACTTTTAAATACAGAAAGACATGTTTTAAAAGCTTCTCTCACAACAATAAGTTTAGCAACGCTTGTTTATATCCGAACCACCTAATAGAATAGGTGCTAAGCTCTATTGAAACCTACCCCTTGGTTGGCTGAGTTTTGATGGATCAGCAATGAATTCTCTCAATTTCGTGTGCGTCTCCTTATTGAATGGGATTACATAGGAGAGGGACTAAAAAAAAGGGACTAAAAAGGTTCTCATTATCTAATCAAATTGTTGAGATAACTTAATTTTTGAGTACCTCTTTCACATCGATTAGCACCCATTGTGCTCGATCAAATTGCTTGACGCCGCTTGATGCCAAGAGAGACAACGAAAAGGGATTTGTCCTGAGAGAGAGAAAATAAGAATAGTTGCGGAATAATGTATTGGTGAATAAGTTTTTTCGTTTCTTTTCATACTTTGGTTTAAATATTATTTCAATTGAATACCCATTAACTGTCCCGAAACGAGCTTTTGTTCTTCGGTACTCGGTGTCCTCAGCGGCAAGTCCGGCCAGATCGAACGATGGAGAGTTACACTGAAAATCTCGTTCAATATCCAGATCAGAAAAAACGGGTATTCTTGCAAAAACTACAGTAATCTTTTCTCGTTCTCTTTTAGCCTTTAGTATGCTTACCAATGGATCGAATAGCACCAAGACGGGCACTTGTCGCGTGAACGCTTTGAGAGCCTCGATTGGTGATGTCAGGTCAAACTAAAATTAAGTTTCATTCCAAAAACCCTATAGAAACCCTTATAGAAACACAGAATCTAATCCCAGATTACAGAATCTAATCCCAGACTTGCCAAAGACGGATCCGAAGCCACGTCAATATAATTTCTCATCTCCTCATAGCCCATCGTTGTGTGCAAAGTGAAAGCTTTGATCTGAAAGAGTTCTTGTTCTTCTTCTTGTTCTTCTTCTTGTTCTTCTCCTTGTTCTTCTTCTTGTCAGAAACAAATCCCACCTCATTCTCTAATGGCTTAAAAGTGATGATGGCTGGGTGAAGGGCCCTAAATGTTTCATTAGAAGGAAATCTTTTCCTCATTTTACCATTTCTCAACATCTTGATGAACCATCGTTCCAAATGTGTATACTCCGTGATTTTGAGAGGCTAGCTTTGTGAAATCGTGATAGACTCGGCTCTGAATTCTTGTGAAATTGGTTTACAAATCTAGCTTTTGAAAATCTAAATCCATTAATCACAAACCTTTTTGTCTTCAATAAACAAAACATGAACCGAATCGACGACTCCATCCCATCCACGAATGATTCCCTCGCGAAAATAGGGTACCTATATGAAAAATTTCTGCAACTACAGCCATAGTCGACTGGCTAAGAGCTCTTATCTTAGACAGAAGGTCAAGAGTTCAATCACGGATAGATTATTCCCTCTTTTTTTCCATATACAGGGTGTCCAGAAATAAAGTGGTCATCGGTTTGAGTGTGGAAAAATTCCCGAATCAACGAGAATTTTCTCGTTGATTTTTCAAGGTTCATCGTGATGTCAAAATTGGTTTTGCCTCAGCCCCACATTGATTTTTGCCCCACACAACAAGATCAAGTTGATTTTTTTGATGATTTTGAGGATAGGCGGTTATGCATCGACCGGGGAGCTCAACATCCACGTATACATGAAAAAGACACTTTTGAATTCCTCTATTTCATCACAAATCTTTCTCCTTTTTGTTTCTATAAATTTGTGCGTTCTTTCAATGTTCTAGCCAAAATTTCAGTTTGCATTGTTGGATTGGCTGTTTCAGAAATCTTCAAACTATGGTTAATTTTTGCACGAGAAAACCCTCTTGTTGCTGCTTTCCCAGGACTGACTTTTTGGGGATCTCTTATTTTCCTAATATCTTATTTTCAAAATCCTAATATCAAAACAAATTTCTAGAAACAAAATGTAAAAAGATTTGTGGTGAAATAGAGGAATTCAAAATTAAAATCCACGTATAGATATACATGAAAAACACGAGCTCCCCAATGCCGATGCATGAAAAACGCGAGCTCCCCATGACCCCCTATAAATCATCAAAAAAATCAACTTGATTTTGTTGTGTCGCGCCTGAGGCAAAACCAATGGCAACCAGACACCACGATGAGCCTTGAAAAATCAACAAGAAATTTTTTCCACACTCAAACCGATGACCACTCTATTCCCGAACACTCTGGATATGTCCATTATATCATTCTTCCTTATATTTAAGGCTGTACTTATGTATTTTTTTGTACCATTCGTGTGAATAATTGTATATTTTTCCTCTCACCTGATCTTCATTAACTTGATGAAAAGCCGGCATGAGTAAGCTGAAAATTCTTTGGTCTCTCTTCTCACATTGTCTCTCTACCGTGAAATCCAATTCTTGACTCCATCCACATCAAGTGTCAGCATTCTCTCGTCATCAAAATCCGCGTATAACTGAAAACCTTTTTTTTTTGCATATAATCGAATTCTTTCCAAACTTTTCCATCCTTGAAACATTGCAGTGCCGGGAATTCTTTCACGTTGTATTTATAGCATTCTTCCATGTTGTGCGTGCAATCGGCAATCAAGATCTAAAAAAATTCACAAGTATAAAATGACAATTGATTCTTGACTTGTACCACAAATTTCCAGTTTACTTTTTACCTCAGTTTCATGAAGCTCTCTCCTCGCCAAAGAGACAGCCACAGCTGCCACTTGATTTGTCAATTTTCCGTCTAAATCTCTGATTGAGACTTTCAATCAGAAACAAACCATCATGATAAAATAGAACAAATCGTGGTGCTTTGTCTGAAGAAGCAAGGTATTTCTCGATCACTGCCGGATTCTCTATTCTGTGCTGCATCATTTCAGAAGCCAAATGCCGCCATTTGTCGTGCTCTAAAGCCCTTTTGTTGTTTTTTTTCATCTTTAGAAGTAAAACTTTTCTTTAGCTACTTGAAAAATATCATTTCTCACTCACGTAGCTCCAAATGTTGAAAGGATTCGA